GTAAGCAGACATGGCGAAATGAGCTCTTGGTGACCTCACGTACGTACCTGTCGCCGGGGTCCCCGATACATCTGTTTCTCGCGGGGTAGAAGGATCCCTACACCAAAAGCAGGGATGCCCCCATCATCGGCTCAACCGGTTCCTACAAAGGCCGAGCGAACAGCGGTCTGCGGGTCACCCGGTACCTTTTGGAGGCTTTGGAGTGCTCCTCCCCCCCACACCAGCAACAGACAGGTACACCCACATACTATTACGTAGTACGTGTACATACCTTAGTACACCACCATGGCACTCGAGAACGTTCCCCTCTCTCCCTCAGGCCACCTCATGGTTTAAATTTACAGTGTTCCTCCAAAAGTTTACCTCTTTGCTCAGCCGCTGCCGCTATTGCTGCTAGCAACTGCTACGCCCTGAACGGAACTACTTGTCTCTCTCTCTCTCTCTCTCTTGTCTCGCCTGTTGCGGACAGCTGTCATAAGGCTCAGTCGCCCTCACATGACGGGTGCGAACTGCTGACTGAACGCCCCAGACCGCAAAGTGACTTTTTTTCAGTTCCCTTGGCTGGCCCATTCCCACGCCACCCATCCTCGATCCAGACTCGGGTCAAGATCCAGTTCCGCGGATCTGCTATCCGCCTCGCCAAAGTGTAACAAAGCAGCAAAAAGGAAAGGGGGAAAGCAGCGTTTGCTTGCTTGTGATCTTGAAACAAGAGCTTCCCTCGTTTGCTCGCCCCCTCTCGTCTCTTCCACCCGGCAACAATCAAGCGCCGATGATCTCGCCCAATCCCCTCGTCGTCCTGCTACCCATCCGCTAGCAGCACTTCACCAGTGCCCGCGCGAGACCGAGAAAGTGACGACTGAGATAGTGAGGAAAGGGCAACGGACTAATCCTGGTGAAGCGTCATGGGGGGCTGGACGGGATTTATCTTCACCTACCTCCTGGGAGGCTTGACCTTTCTGCCCTTGGTTGTCTTTGTCGTCCTCGCCCACGCCTATTTGACCCTCCCTTACCGACAGGATGCTGACACAACCTGCGACCTTGTCGACGACGGTCCGGACTCCATCGTCCAGCCCGGCGACGACCTGACGGCCCTCGAGGCCGAGAAAGCCATGGCCAAGGACGAGGGGGCGACAAATACAACGACGAAGCGGTCCGCCCAGGAGAACGACGTCGCCGCGGGCTACTTCGCCGTCTGCAGAGAGTACACGCCCATGGGAATCAACGCGAAGCCTATCGAGCGAGCCACCCCGACCGGGTCCACAACCGTCGCCGCGCCGAGCCAGAGCGTCTACCAGACCATGTACAAGAGCATTTTTGAACGCAAGTCAACTCCGGGGCCCTTGGACAACAGGAACGGGCTGAGCCAGCGCCCCAAGAACGCTGGCAACGTATTTTATGTTGTGCTGAGGTATGCATGCTTTGTTCACTTCGTGTATATATCTGCTCACGCTGACTGACGCGCCCGCAGGCATGGTCACCTGATGCTCTTTGACGATGACGAACAACTTGAGGTCCGACACGTAGTCTCGCTCTTGCACCACGACATCAGTATATACTCCGGCGGAGACGTCACCCCCGAGGGCGAGCTGTACATCAAGAGGAATGCGTTGTGTCTGTCGCGGAGGACGGACGGTGCCGAGATCGGTCCAGATAGCCAGCTTTCCAAGCCATTTTACCTCTTCTCGGAAAACTGCTCGGCCAAAGAGGACTTTTACTTTGCCATGCTCCGCAATCAGGAGCAGACCTTTGGTGCTGAGAGAAAAGCCCCGAGGCCGAAGCAGTTTGAGGTCAAGAACATCATTGCACTGGTCCAGAAGCTGCACTCGTCCGAGGAGCATCTGTCCACGAGGTGGCTCAATGCCATGGTCGGCCGGATGTTTCTGGGGATCTACAAGACGACTGATCTAGAGCATTTTATCCGTGAGAAGCTCACAAAGAAAATTGCCCGTGTCAAGCGGCCGTCTTTTCTCACCAACATTGCCATCCGCAGAATCGAGACTGGCGAGTCTGCACCTATCATTACGAACCCACGCCATAGGGACTTGAACGTCGAAGGAGAGTGCGTGATGGAAGCCGATATTCGATACACGGGCAACTTTCGCATCGAGGTTGCTGCTACGGTTCGTATTGACCTTGGAGCGCGCTTCAAGGTCCGCGAGGTCGATATTGTCCTTGCAGTTGTCCTTAAGAAGCTAGAGGGGCATATGCTGTTCAAGATCAAACCCCCGCCGAGCAACAGAGTCTGGCTCTCTTTTCAGAGCATGCCGAAGATGGAGATGGCAATCGAGCCGATTGTGAGCGCTCGACAGATCACATACACCATCATCTTACGACAGATCGAGAACAGAATCAAGGAGGTTGTTGCCGAGACATTAGTGCAGCCGTTCTGGGACGATATGCCGTTCTTCAACACAGAACACAAGAAGTGGCGAGGCGGCATTTGGGAGGACGACGATGCGGTTGTTGGTTCGAGCAGTGAGGAGACCAACATTGCAGGAGACGGAGATGTGGAAAGTGTCGATCGTTTGGATGAGACTGGAGATCTGTCCAGTGAGACGAGACCGTTGGAGAAGAGCCACAGCATGCCCATCGTCGAGAACTCTCCGCCCGCCGGGTTGTTCGGCAGGAAGATCCAGGGCAAGGGATCTAACAGCCCTCTCAACGGCTCTTCTACGAGCATCGACGCCATGGGCCCCCCCACGTCAGCGTCGTCGGCGTCACCTGTTCCTAAGCCGTTCAGATCGCCGTCGATTTCGAGTCCAGCCAACCCTGTGGTCGGCACCGATATAGCCCATGCGGATGTATTCAAACCCTCGTCATCGCCGCCCGACCATGCTTCGAGCATGATGGCGGCACTGTCCGCAAGGTCAACACCGGCGACGACTCCCTCCGAGGCACCAACCAGGCCCACGCTGCTTGCCAAAGCCCCGAGTCAATCTTCCGTGTCTTCCCGTGAGGCCACGGATAACGAAAATGAGGCAGATCGCACGCCGGTGGCCGAGGGGCGGCGAAGTGCAGCTTCCTCGGCCGAGTCGATGCGCATCAGTGAGTCCATTGACCCGAGCTCGCCAACGTCGTCTTCAAGAGGCTCTGTCAAGAGTACTACGGGCTCCGTCTCGAAGGGTCTGTTCCGACGAGAGAACACGGGGAGCACGAACTCGACCACCTCGGCAAACGGCGAGACGAAACGTACCACTCTCTCGGCTGTTGCGAATGCTGCAGTCACTGCCAGGCAGTGGGGCTGGAACGCAATTCAGAAACACAAGGACGCTAAGAACGGCAACGGGGCAGAACAGGCGTCTCAGCTGGACCTGAACCAACCCATGGGAAGAGGTCGGCCCTTGCCGCCCCCGGGTACACCGCTTCCGCCTCCCGAGCGGGGGTCCAAGGTCACGACGATCCCCGTGCCGAAGCGGAAAGTCATGCCCCCACCGAATCTCTCCGAACGTCCGCAGCCAACCGCGTCAGCGGAAAGCAAACCTGAGCGCAGACCCGTGCCGCCCCCGCCCTTGCCGTCGCGGCGCCACACTGACACGCACAAGAACACGGATGAAAGTGGCGGGGACAGCTTGCTGGTCGTTGAGGCGCCTCTCGACTCGGAGCCCTCGACTCCGCTGGCCGAGAACATGTTTCCGTCCGCGTACGTCCAGCCGTGGGCCGAGGAGGCATCTGACGACGAAGGGATCACGGGCATCTCGCAGACACAAGACTCTAGGCACAAAGAGGACAACAATCGCGAGGGGGGCAAGGAAGACAGTCGGATGCCACCACCTCTTCCACAGCGCCGCAGCAAGTCTGAGGAGGGCGACCAGGCCATTGAGGCCGTCCCCGCGAACGTGGCGGATGACGACGAGGACTACTCTGCGTGGATCGACGACACGCAGGATATCTTGGTTGGCAGCGGAAGGGGCAGTGTGGAGGTGAAGTAATGACGCATCTGTCGGGTTTTCATTGATTGGAGTTGGGAAACGGAACAGAGGGGGTAATGGCTTTTTGGACGGGGTTGGATTGGGGTCGGAGTTGCATATTTTAGGATACCAATTATTCACACACCAATCGATACTACTACTACCCACGTCAACCACCGTAGAACGCCTTTTTCCCTTGTCCAGCGTCTTTGACAAGGGAATCGCAGAGCTCTCGGTTCCAAGTCCAGCTCGCTGGCGTGAGCCATCCCCCCCCCTCGTAATTTTTTTTTAAATTTTTTTTTGTTTCTTTTTCTTCTTGCGCCATTACCACGCCCCTTTGACGGGCACTACAGCGAACGTAGGGGAGCGAGCGGGCATCCCACCCGTGACGCAGGGAGTTAATACGAGCGCCCGAACCCCAGGCCTCGGAAGCGTGGTTGGGGTACGTTGTTAGATTGGCAAAAGGGAGAAGAGGATGGATGAATGGATGGATGAATGCCTGCGTTTTCTCCCTCCGCCCCCAACCTAGGCCATCACCGCTTGCGTCGGGCTTCCAAAAGTGGTTCACGCTAGGTAAGGTCAGAGTCACACGAGATGGGGACGCCTTTAAAATATCGAAGAAAAAAAAAGGTTCAGAAGTAGAACTATGCATTACATCTACAGAGTCCCAATTCCCGGGTTGATCAATCCCATAAAAACCTTCCAGATTCGCCCCCCAATTTCCATAGGAGAGAGGAGAGAAGAGTCGAGGGCCGCATGCCCTGATAGTACGAACATAGAAAAAGCGGTAGAGAGAGAGGGGGTGTGAGAGAGAGGGTTGAGAGAGTACATTAGAAGAAAAAAAAAGAACAGGAAAAGGAAGTAAGTGTTGTTTTTGTGGGTTATGGTTTTGCCCTTCACTTGAGTCGATCACGAAAGCCACAACACAAGGCGAAGCTTGGCTTCAGTTGTATCTGGCGGTACATTGCTATGTTTTCTTTCCCAGGCACCCGGTTCTCTGTCCCCTAAGATTTCGCCGTGGCCATGCTGCAAAACTTGGAATCAATTGGTTTCGCTAATCAGAAACCCCCAATGCGAATGACAGGTTGCTCCCGGTAGCAAAGAAAACAACGCGGCCGAAAAAAAGGATGCTTAGCAATCATCCAGACAACGTGATCTGGCAATGGTTGACCGGTGCCTAGTGGCTATAATCGAGACAGGCAGAACGCGAAAAGAAATATTTGTCGTCGTGAGGACGCAGGGGTCCTGGATGCAGTCGTAAATGATAGATTAGGTCCAAAACGGAAGGAGAAGGGGCCTGGGCTCTTGCGGGGCGCAGGGCATCCTAGGCAAAGACAACAAGGAGATGGTTGTCATGGACATCGTGATCCGTTGCGTGAGAGCGAATTCTTCGTGGATGGGGAGAGTCTCCCACGAGGCCAAATTTCGGCGTAGCGAGTGGATTGCAAGGGTGCCTTCATTGGTGTATATTTAACTTGAGGCTGCTCCTCGACGACCGCGCGGAGACGGCGGTGGGGCCCATCGAGCGCCAGCTTATGCTCGTGACTTCAAGGTGGTCAACGGCGTAGACGCAGAGGGTCCAGAATGAGAGTTGGAGTGCGAGCGAGAATGAGAGCCAGAAGGCCGACTCCGCTTAGAGTGGTGGTGGAGGGTGCCAACATCATGCTTGCCTGATTCGTCGTTAGCATGTCTCCTTTTGGGGGAGGGGATTAAGCCAAACTTACCATCGCAGCACGCGCGCACGTTCTCCAGTCTGTCGGCCTCTCGGTCTTGTTTTTCGATAATCTCCCGGAGGTCCTCAGCACTGTCGTGCACCTCGCTGGCCTCATAGATGCTGGGGCTAATAACCCCGGAGCGACTTCTCAGGCTCGAAAAGGTGCCGAAGTAGCCACTGATCCTACCCAGCGTCCCCATAGGAGGTCTCTGGGCCTGGGCTTCGTGCTTGGTCGGGGTCAGAGTCGGTGGGTTCATCGACATGCCGACTGCCGGGGACTGGTTGCGGGTAGTCCGTGAATTGTATGATGACAGAGACGGCGTAGGCCTCTGGCGCGCCGTTGAGCTGGCGCGACTACCAAGCTGAGGGTTAAATTCATCCACATCGGCCTGCGTGAGGTTGCCAGCCATCTCCTCGACGTCGGACTGTCCTTCGTCGGTTGTGCGAAGCAAGAGGTATGACAAGGCATTGAACCACGTCTCGTGGCGCTGGCCAGTCGTACAGGTGAACTTGATGGTTCTGCCGGGGGAGATGACGATCAAGCTCTTACGGTGGAGGCCGGGCGGCATGGGGTTGTCGTCGGTCACCACGCGGACGGCCTCGATGGGCACACTCTTCCCGCGAAGCTCGGACCGCCCGGCAGTGGCCGGGTCACGGTCGCTCCAGTACAAAGTCCGGGTGTACGGGTGGACCCAGAAGTAACGCCTGTGTCTGTAGTCCGACAGTTCTCCGCGGCCGGTCTTGCGGGTGTATTTCCACAGGTATTCGCCAATCATGGTCTGTGTGATGGCCTGGATCATGCGAGGATCGGTATTGGGGCCAAAGCCACTCGCCGCGGCCACCTCGGCGTGGGGGTTGAACCGGTGGTCGATTTCAGAAACGAACGAGGACACCGAAGAGTGCCTGCTCATGGTCGACAGCTTGGTCGGAGAGTGAATCTCGGCGGCACCGTAAGGCGCGCCAGCCCGCGAAACACGAACAGAAGGGGCGGCATTCACCGATGTGGAGATTGACAGCGGGGACTGTGGCCTTGCGCCGTTGGGAGTCTGTGGCCGCTGGTTTCTCATCGCGGAGGCGGGCCACAAAGGAGGGCCCATAACCGCACTTCCATGCGAAGACCCGGTTCTCGCAGCTTCGATAGCCTCCTTGTGGTTGGAGGGCAGAGGAGGAAGTGACCCGGTAGACACGAGGTTGCTGCTGGCACTGCCTGGTCTTTTGAACCCTGTATCCATCTTGTTCTCGGTGGCGAAGCTGCTAAAACTATCATGGGACGGACGGTGGATGCGGACGGTGCCGGGGGTGCTCGGGGTTCCGAAGCTCGACAGCGACTTGTCGGAAGTGCCGGCCTTGCTCTTTGAGAGGAGCATCTCTTCGATCGCCTCGGAAGTCAAAGCAGTCTGGGCGCCAGAGTCAGACATGGGAATCGCTGGCTTGCGCGCAGCGCGGTTGTTGGCGTTGGTTGAAATATCCTTGAACGGCCGCTGGGACTCGGGAGTCTCGGACAGACGAGTTTCGCTCGGCGATTGTCTGGTCTCATCCTCCGCGATGATGGTGCTGTCTGCCTTGCCCTTGTTCCGGCCGAAGACGGAGCTCATCAGAGCATTTCTAGAAGGCGTCCGTGGCGCATCCTTGTCACCATGGGAAGAATCCGTGTTGTCGCGAGGGAGGATAAAGGCATCTCTCTTCGGGCTTCTAGGCGAAATGGGTTGCGTCTCAATCGACTCGATGGTGGAGAAAGCGAAGCTGGGCTTGAGCGCCAAAAGTTCCGGCGTGACGACAGGTTCTACGTGCTGAGACAGAACGGAGGAGAACCCTAGCGGAGGGAGAAGTGCAGCAAGAGGCTCGACGTGCTCCGAGCGAATTTCGGAGTATGCAAGAACAGCAGGAAGAGGTGCCGGAATCTCAGGCTCGGCCTTGGGCTCGATGTTCTCAGACGAGATGGAGGACAGGCTGAGAGCGGGCGGTGCCGGTGGGAGCACCTCCGGCTCCGCGAGAGGCTCAACGTCCGAAAATGTGATAGAAGACAAGGTGAGCGATGGCGCAAGCTCGGCCTTCGGTTCAATGTCCTCAGAGGAGATTGGCGTAAGGCTGAGAACAGGTACGGGGGCAACCACTTCGGGTTCCGCGTTCGGCTCAATATTCTCAGCCGCAATAAGCGAAAATGTGAGAGTCGGTATCTTGGGGGCAATCTCCGGCTCCGCTTTGGGCTCAACGCCCTCCGCCACGATGGACGAGAGGCTAAGAGTGGGGGGCAATACCTCAGGCTCTGCTCTTGGCTCAAGGTCGTGAGAGTGAAGAGCTGAGAGACTGAGGACGGGCGCCGGAGAAACAATCTCGGGCTCAGCCTTGGGCTCGACGTGTTCCGTCGCGATCGCTGAAAGGCTGAGGGTGGGCGCAACAACAGGGATCTCTGGCTCTTCCCTCGGCTCCACGGTCTCGGACGCGATTGAAGACAGGGTAAGGGTCGGCAATGACGGTGCCGGTACTGGTACCGGGATAGGAGCAGGGATGGTTGCAAGTGCCCGAGACTGTTCCGGGTCTTCCTTGGGCTCGATGTTTTCGGACACCAGAGCTGACAAGGTGAGATCGGGCACGGGAAGCGCGACCTCGGGCTCAGCGACCGGCTCAAGGTTGTGCGAGTGTAGAGCGGAGAGACTGAGAGCCGGAGGCGGCACCTCTGGCTCAGCTACCGGCTCCAAGTCGTGAGCGTGCAGCGCCGAAAGAGTGAGAGTCGGGGGCGGCGTCTCGGGCTCGGCCACAGGCTCGAGGTTGTGGGAGTGCAAGGCCGACAAGGTGAGCGTCGGCGGGAGTATCTCGGGCTCAGTCACGGGCTCGAGGTTGTGGGCATGAAGGGCCGAGAGGCTGAGGATGGGAGGCGGCACCTCTGGCTCAGCAACAGGCTCGACCGCCTCTGACAAGTAAGTCGAGATGGTCAGCGTCGGGAGTGGCACTTCGGGCTCGGCCTTTGGCTCAACAACCTCTGAGACAAGAGGCGTGAACGCCAAGACGGGTGCAGGCAGCACAATCTCGGGCTCTGCCTTGGGCTCAACAGCTTCAGAAAGCAAGGACGTAATGGTGAGCTGAGGCGGTGCAGGAGGAGGTGTCTCGAGCTCGACGACGGGTTCAATGTCTTGTGCATCGATGGAGGAGAGGCTGAGCTCAGGCGGCGGCGGCGGGATGTAGTTGTCGAGACTAGATGGTGGCATCGGGAACTGCGCCAACTTCTCATCCATGTCAACATCATACTGGGCACCTGCGTCGCTGTAGGAGATTGTCGACAGCGGGCGGGAATGACTGCTGTTAGCATCGGCATCGTCAACCGATAGGTGGCGTGACACCTGCTGAGCGGCCGACACGGACCCCAGAGACACATCTCCATCCTCATGAACGGCGCTAGGTGCTGAGAAGAAAGGCAACTCGGTCATGGGCTCCGTCATCATACCACTGTCGACCATCATGGGTCTGGAGGCTGCGGTCTTCTTAACAGGGTCCGTCATATTGCTGCTGTCGACCGTATCACGAGGCAAGGTAGGGACGGATGCTGTAGAGTCGCCAGTGGCGGACCTTGAGCGGTTGGGCGTATCCCCACCAGACTCGGCGTCGCTGTTGTCAAGATCGGCAAGCTCTGCGAACAAGCTCTGGCCGCCGGCATGAGGCGTTCCTGCAGCGCTATCTGTGGCAGCACTGGCAGGGCTGCCCTGGAAGCTCGGCTCCTCGCTCAACTGTCTTGACTGGCGGTTGATGATACCTCGGCTGAGCCTAACACGCATGCGCTGATGCGAATGTTGTGACGTCGGTGTCCTATACTCGATGTATTCCTCATCCTCGTCGGCCGAGGTAGACGCAGTGCTGTCGTATGAGTCTCGGCCACCGGACATGGCAAGAGCCTGGGACCGCAGGTCACGACCCTTAGACGGACTCTCGGTTTCGGTCTCAGTGTCATCGTCGTCATCGCCGGAAAAGTCTTCGACGCCAGTCTGGAAGTCCTCCGTTTCTGTTCCGCGCTCGTTGGCCGTTTCGAAGGCGGCATCGCTGGTCTCGTTGGCCGTTTCGAAGTCGTCACTGACATCGGTGAATTGAGTTCTGTAGGCACTGCCAGGTCTGCTGTTCGGTCTGCGGATGATGGAGCTGGAGCGAGCGTTTGGCGAAGTTCTGGGGCTGCCGATTTCCGTGGCCTCTTCCCAGTCTGGGTCGTCCTGGTAGACTTCATTCCTGCTGCTTCGGTGGCCGCCAAGCAAGCCACGGGTAGGCTTCTTGAATTCTCTCGACTCAACCTTGCGGTTGCGACGGGCAGGAACAGGTGGGGCGTCGGTGCGCAGCTTCTCCAGCTCATCGCGCGTATCCTGGAGCAGTCGCTTAAGCTCGAGCTTCTCGGTCTTCTCGCGGTGGATGACGGTCTTCTGGCTCTGGATCGTTCGCTGGGCATGCAAGAGAGAGCTCTTGAGGGTCTCGGACTCCAACATGGCATGGCGGGGAGTGCCTTTAATGGGTGACTGCGGGGGGGAGTGTTCGGGAGTAAAGCCGTCTGTGGCGGCCTCCAAGTCCTCATCACTGACACCGCGGACAAAGTCGCGATCAGACATACGGCCACGCTGGATGGAAACGGCCTTGGCGAGCTCCGTGTTTTGGCTCATGAGGTCGTCGACCTTGCGTCGCAAGGTATTCCTCTCGGTTTCGGCCGAGGCGGCATTCCGCTTAGCAGTGGTCAGATCCAGCTCGAGATGCTTCACAGCACGTTCATGCTCCTCGGCGAGCTTGGCGAGCGAGACCTTGGCCTCGTCGAGCTCCTTCTGAACCGAGTTCTTTTCCACCTGGAGGACACTCAAGCTCTGCGACAGCTTCTTTTCTCGGTCTGCAGCGTCCTTTTGCGCAGCAATCAGGTCGTGGACCTGCGTCTCTAGATTCCAGTTCTCGTCCTTGTATTTGTTCTCGCTTTCGTCCAGGGCCTTGACGCGCTGCTGGAAGTTCTCGTTCTCGATTTCCAGCCTGGACTTGTCGACCTTGATGTCGCGCAGCTCCTCGTCCTTTTCGGAGAGGAGCGATTGCAGGTTGCGGACCTGGGCGATCAGGGATGTACTGATTTCGGCAGCGAATTCGATGTCGTGGATGCGATTACCGGGCTGGTTTCTGACTTTGCAGTTTGGGACACTGAGCTTGGAAGGCGATCCAGTGGCCTGGACCTCAAGCTTCTCGAACTTGGAGGGACTGATGGAGCGCTGGGAACCTGTTAGAAATGGAGTGCGCCAGACGAGTGCGCAAACTTACTCTTGCCGTCTTTCCGTCTGGCACGTAGGGCGAGCCTCCAGCAGCTTCATTGCTGGGGACCCTCTGCTTGGGCAAGAAGGCCCTGGCGGTCTCTCGAGCAACATCCTGGAACTCCTTTTCAATGTCGGCAAGCTTAGCGCGCAATTCGGGGGCAAGTTCTCCTTCCGTCTCCTGCTCTTCGACCTCCTTGAGGCGTTCGGCGAGTTCCTTGCGCTGTTGGACGAGGGCGGTGCCCAACTTTCCGGCTTCGTCGAGGCGCCGTTCGGTATCGGCAATGTGGGCCTGCAAGACGCGCTTGGCCTGGTCGGGTGATGAAGCCGGGCCGAGGGCGAAGGATTGGTTATCGAAGCCGGAGTAGCGGTGGTGAGCATGTCCAGGGGGCGAGATGAAGGGGTCGTTCGCATCCGCATCAGCGGGCGGCAGATAGGGCTTATCCGCGGCGAGTGAGGTAACCATGTTGATGGGGGAGAATGGGGGATGCCGCCGTCAGATGCGTTGTGGCGACATCCAGTGCGAGAATCCGCGGAGGATTGGATCGTGGTTGTGGAAAGCCGGCGATCGCGATTGTCGGACGAGTCACGCAAAGGCTATGTAGGTAGTGGAGGTATGCGGAGGTACCTAGTTTCAACGGGGATGGAGGGATGGGCCGGGGGCTGCAACGCAAGCGCGGGGTGTGCAGAGCCGGCTGCCCGTCTACACGACGTAACGCGGGGACTGGGAGATGTCGAAAAGCGAGCGGATGGGTGCGAGAGAGCAAGCGAGAGGAGAAGGTGTCAAAAACGAAGAAAAAGAAGGAGACAAGGAGTGGGAGAAGAATTGAGGTTGTCGTCGTCGTCGTCGTCGTAGTCGCCGTCGCCGTCGCCGTCGTTGAGCTGGTCGGAAAGGGTGTCAGAAGAAGAAAAAAAGAAGAAAAAAATAGAAGTAGGTGGGAAAGAGGGAGCGAGGGGAGGTGGTGGGCGTGTGATGTTTTTTTGTTGACTTGGACTTTGTTGTTTGTGTTCCCCCCTCCGCAGCTGAAGACGGGAGGTGTGTTGTTGACAGGAATGCGGCCCCCAGTGGTTCCTTGCAGGCGCAGGGCGATGGATGGGATGGATGTGTGTGTGTGTGGGTGGGTGTGCTCGGGCGGCTTTCTATGTGTCTATCGTGCAGGGGGAAGATGGGACCACACTACCTCTCCAGGTTTACGCGACCCAGCAAGAGAAGAGCAAGGAAGTAAGGCGGTGCCCTGTCGGCTTTGTGTTGTTTTGGCTTGATTCGCGGCTGCTGCTTCTGCTGACGGGAGGATGCAGCTAAGACGCTGGGATGAGCTAAACGCGCCCTCACCTTGTTTTCCGGCCTAGGTCGATTTGCTTGCTGCTTGCTGCACTAGAAGAAGTCCAGGTTGGCGCTATACTCTCTTTGGTCTCTTACGTCTTTTTTCTTTTCTTTTTCCTTCTGACTCTTCCCTCTCTCTCTCTCTCTCACTCTCCGTCACAGTGCTCCCTCCACGTGCAAAAAGGAACGCCCGGACACTTACGTATTGATGAGATGAGCTGAAGAAGGTCCGGATGAAGGGAAGCTTAAATAAAACGTCGATGCGTGGAAACCCCCTTCAAGCAAAAGAAGAAAAAAAAGATGAGCCGGAGGTGGGGGTCGGATGGTGGTCGGTGTCGACGGGAAAAAGAACAAGGACTAAATAATAAGACAATGATATTATTAGGGAAAGGTCTGCCGTTTTCCGTGAGTCGCGGCGCGCGGGCGAACGATGCCAGGGAGAGAAAAAGCAATGAGTCGGCGTGTTCGTGGAGAGCAGAGGTCTCAGATGGATGGAGGTACCGGTATTCGCGTATCGTATCCTAGGGTACCTACGGTACGGTACGGTACGGCCGAATTACGGGCGCGCGGGCGGTGCGTGTGGTACGAACCGTGGGTGGCCTTCGGGCTAACCCGTCTCTGACTCTCGACTTCTTTTTAGCCTTTGGAGTAGCTCCGAGATGATTAATAGCTCAGGAACAACCCGTGTGTTGTGTGGTAATTCGCAGTGGTCGTGAGCCGAACGGTCGAGAAGCCAAATTGACGTCGGTGAGAAGCCGAGGCGGGAGTGACGGCGGTGGCGGAGACGACGCACCACAGCGACGCAGGGTCTCGAAGAACCTCCGGGAGGAAAAAAAAGAAGAAAAAAGCCGGAAGCAGAATCAAAAAATAAATAATAGAATAATCAGAATGGGCAAAAAGTTTTCGTAGTGAGGGGATGAGGGTCGGATTGAGCTGGCTGCAGGCAAGATACCTGTAGCGATGTCGTGCCGGTGTGCGGATACCTAGGTAGGCAGGCAGGCAAGGAGGGTAAAACAAAGGGCCAGAAGAATAGGGTCGATTAATAGAACGGAACAAGAGGCAGAAGAATCCTGAACCAGCCTGGGAAATGGAGAAAAGCAAGGCACCAAGAAATGAGTGAGAGATTGTTACGTCTTTAAACACACAAATGTAGGTATTCCTTTCCTGATCTGTTCTCTCGGGCTGTTCGCTGGGATCTTCTCCAAGTCTTCTTCTCGGCCTAGGGGTCCTCCAGTTTGAGAGTACTCGATGTCGCGCAAAGAGACGCGCAACGACGATTCAATGTCGAACTGGTGACGCGCCAGGAAGGGAGGAAGCAAAAGAAGGAGGGACGGGAAAAAGTGACGATCAGCGGGTGTCGACGTCGGCTGGCGAAGGAGGCGGAACACACGACGACGAGGAGGGGGGGGAGGGAGAAGGAGGGATAGGATGGGATGGGATGGGAAGGGATGGAGGGAGAGAGGTGGAAAGGGTTAGCAATTAATCTCGTAGACGAGAAGAAGAGGAGAGACCCCACGACGAGGGATGATCCTCCTCTCTTGAGAATCTTATCCTCGCGTTCCTTGCGTTCCCCTCCAGGCATAAGAAGGGATGGAGACTTCACATCTGTACCTACCTTGGATAGACACCTAGAACATTGCACACATTGCATTGCACATTGCTTGCACATTGATTAACCCAGACAAGGGGGGGGCTCGACTGGCGGCGGCCCGGGAGCAGCTTGCGTAGTAGTACGGGTCCGTAAGCCGGTATGGTAATGTACCTCACTATCCGTACCTACCTGGGTATATATCCGTAGCTTTACTCAGAACGAGACAGGGAGGTCTGTCCGTCTCTCCTATCCGTCCTAGCACACCTAGCAAGTAGCGAAAAGAGGCGAGAAAGCCGTTGCAATACAGCATGCTCTTTGAACTTCCTGAGCCTTGTGCCTGTCAATTAGCCCTTCGTGCCTGTCGGGAGGGGGCTAGCCAGGGTATTTGCCAGAACTCGACTCTCAACGTCTTTAGGGTTCCACCATGGAGTAAGCAGGTCATGCCTGTCTGCCTACGTTGGTGATTTGTACAACTGTGCAACTAAACAGTATGCAACAGCTGCACAAGCCCGGGTACCTTGCAGCTGTGGGCCACCATGTACGGATACTATACGGAGTAGTCGGACACGTACGCCCCATGGAGACACATGTACGGCATACCTGTGCATTGTGTGAGTTGTTTCCTGTAATTCAATCCATTTCCACCCACCCGGTTTGGGGTGACTGACGTCGTCTTGCGCGGATGCTTATCGATCAATTTGCTCCGAGTTAGTCACAGTCCTGGCCCTGCCACGGCGCGCCATGCTTGAGCCTCACCCTATTGCGCGTGGCGGTGGTAAGAATGCAGATACTGATCGTCTGCTCCCATGACTCTCAATGTATCGATCGATCGTACGTATCTAATACCTACCTAGGTACCTGACCTATACGTAGGTTGGTAGGCACACAAAGCTAGTTACTGCATGCGGAACACGAGCTGCACGATACGATACCGCAGTGTTTTGGGACGGCTTCATGCACCACCGAGGGGACGCCTCTATTCGTTGATCCAATGCAGTTGCGCCCTCGACCCCGTATAAGCGTACACTCTCTTTGGAGCTGTTGCTTTCCTGTCCGCATGCGTGGCCAATTCAGATGGCCCATTCCAACAACACGGCCACATCCTCTCACATTCACACTCATCGCTACGCGCGCGTCGTCCATTGTCCATCCATCCCTCCCTCTCCCTCTCTCTCTCTCCTCCCCACGATCCCCCAAGGCGCGGCCCAGCATGCCTGAAGGCTCATGCGGGCAATCAGAGTCATAACATACGGATACATAGGAAACATTCATCCCGTGGCATCGCATTGCGTCGCAATAACAATCGAGGCACCCCGTCCATTCATCTTCGCTCGCTTGTGATCCTACTCCCCGCCAATTAATCCATGCCGCATCGCCGCAGAACAAGGTCCTTTTTCGGGACTCGACTTGTTCGGCCGCATAACTTTGGCCAATCTTAGCCTTGGCCCACCGCCAGCTGACTCTAACCCATCTGGGAAGCTCATCCCTGTAAGGCGCTCCTCTCGTTGCGCCCCCGCCGAGACCTATTTCTATCCAACCAAACCCTTGCCTTCCAGCCCCCCGATTTTCCGTTTCCTTTTCAGTTGGCAGCTGACTTCGCGGCGAGCTAACACAGCACAGGGCAGCTACACTGGAAAGCCCCACTCGTCACCTGATTGGTTTTCCCTCTCCGCTGCGGGCCTCACCTCCCTGACTCCTTCAAGCCACTCTCGCTTTGTCATCTTTGTGGCTTGGTCTTCGTCGTCATTCTAGAATGCATTCTTGGCTCCCGACGATTTGCGATCGCCATCGAAGAAGCCAAAGGCGTCTTGTTGTCCAAGGATAACCCAAAACAACTTTGGAAGCAATCACACCCGCCTCGCCTTGCACCGATCCACGCGAGTTGAGGAAAAGTGCTGCATCTATCACCAGTGATGGCCGACAGCGCGGCACCTGAAGCCGACGCCGCCCCCGTCGCCGTCTTCAAGCGGCGAGGCGCAAAGGGCAAGGCCAACATCCGTAAGAGGCCCGCGACACCGCCACCAGCTAACAGCGACTCCGACTCCGACTACTCCTCCTCCGAAGACGAAGCAGGCCAGCGCGTCAAGAGGCGCAAGAAGAACGCGGGAGCCATCACAGCATCCTCCAGGGACCACGCCACATCAAACAAAGATCTCTCCGCCACAGTATATACCGCCGATCGCAGCGTGCCCATCACGGACTCCAACGATGCCACAAAACACAGCAACTGGTACGACGAAGACGGCAAGGACGCGCTCTCTTCCAAGAACCTGCTGGGCACTACGCGGACCGCACCGAAGGGCTCGCAGGCCCCCGATGGTACTTACAAGGGCCTCGCAAATCAGACATCCTTCATCACCAAGAACCCGGATGCGCCAAACAGGACGGTCGGGCCCATCAAGGCGCCCACCAACATCAGAACCATCACCGTCACCGACTTCGCGCCAGACGTCTGCAAGGATTACAAGCAGACGGGCTTCTGCGGTTTTGGCGATAACTGCAAGTACCTACACGCGCGAGAGGACTACAAGCACGGGTGGCAGCTCGACAAGGAATGGGAGAGCGTCACCAAGGGGAAGAAGAACATTGGCGGCACCGTGGTCGCCAGCGCGGACCGGGGGGGCAAGGCCGACGACGACGACGACGACGCTGAGGAGGAGGCCATGCTGGAGAACATACCCTTTGCGTGCATCATCTGCAGGGAGCCCTACAAGGCGCCCATCATCACGAGGTGCGGGCACTACTTCTGCGAGCCTTGCGCGCTCAAGAGGTACAGGAAGGATCCGACGTGCGCAGCGTGCGGCTCGGGAACCAACGGCGTCTTCAACTCGGCGTCGCGGTTGAAGAAGTTGCTAGAGCGGAAGAGGGAACGCGCGGCCAAGAGGCGGCAGGAGGCAATAGAAGCAGGGGAGGAGGTGAGCGATGAGGAGGAGGAATAGCCGGAAGGGGGCTGATATGAAAATGAGATACCAATGAACCTCTCCCCTTCGAGGCTTGAATGTAATACTGACCTGGGCATATTTGGACCAGGATTGGCCCTACTTCTGTCGACTCTTTTGGTCATTTCTGTAGACCCTTCTGCTTCCTGCCGAGAATCTCAACGAGAACATATGAGTTCTATGTCGAATGTCTGGTCTCACTGTTTTGCCAGTGACAAAACCCTTTCGCTAGGTTCTCGTATTTTTATCACGGGCATGCAGGACCGTCCTGTCTTTGCGCAGTCCCTCATTTCGCCCGAAAGCATGCCCAACCAGCAAGGAGTGAGGTGGGCTGATGACGCCGTCCTCTTTACCTGTGACATAACGACCCCAGAGCCGAGCTACGGTCGTTAAGTTGCTCAGAAGTCGAATAAATTGATGTTGATGAGGCCCATAGATGCAGAAGCCACTTGCTGGAATCGCTAGCATCGCGTCCGTCCAAGACATGCCCGGGTCCGAGACGCGTAGCGAACGATGCGACGATGTCCTGCTCGCACGATGCGGACCAGTCCATATCCCCACGCACGACGGTCGTTACAGGAATGATCTGCATACCATATACCGTAACCTGCACATGCAGAAATACAGGGCTAGGTATAGTTCTTCGTTCCGTGTTCTCAATACCTCAGTGCGGCTCTGGCAACATGTGTGCCTGAGAGGTAAGACAACGTAAGGGGAGAAGGACGCGTTGAGGACGTTGCGAAGGAGGGGGCGGGTGCACGGTCCCGATGGCGTAGTGCGGCGTTTGCCTCCAACGGCACCGATAAGATAAGCGGCCTCTCAATCTCCAGGCGGCAACCCCCCCCGCCACTACGCTCCCTGTCCAATCGTGAGACAACCCCGCCATCCATGTGATCGTCCGGAACAGCTGCCACAGCTCAACTCCCACTCATCGACATCAGGCGGGAACCTTTGCGGACTACATCATTCAAAGCGTCGGCGGATGAGCGAAAGTTCTCCTTCCCACTTAGCAACAAATCCTCTTCCTTTCAACTAGGAGCACGCCATCACCACGAAGCACCGATACCTACCTACCTACCTATACAGACAGACATCCAGCAGCTTAGGATATTATACAACAGCTTACACCGACTTGGAACACCCCCAGCTTCTTCCACTTGGTCCGCTTTGCTACCCATCATGAACCTCCTCTACTCCACCGTGAACACCCTTCGCGACCGATACACCCCGGTCTCGCACAAGTCGACCTTCCGCCAAACGGGCCAAATTACCCCCGAAGAGTTTATCGCCGCCGGCGACTACCTCGTCTACAAGTTTCCCACCTGGTCTTGGGGCGACGCCGACTCGGACAGCCGCCGTGTCAGCCACCTGCCTGCCGGGAAGCAGTTCCTCGTAACGCGCAACGTCCCCTGCAATCGCCGGCTCGACGACGACTTCGCCGGTGACGCGGGCCACGAGGAGGCCGTTGTGGAAGGCGGCAAGAGCTCCGCGGGCGGCGGCGATGACGACGAGGACGGTTGGCTGCGCACCGGCGGGCTGGCAAGCTCGCAGCCGTTGAAGGTGAGAGAGGTCCGGACGGTAGACGACTCGGGAAATGTCGGGGACAGGGAGGTTGTGGATGACGACGAGATTCCGGATATGGAGGACGAGGACGATGACGAGGCCATCATCCGCGATGCCGGAGACAGCGGCAAGAACAGGTGCGCCAAGCCCGCCAACTGGAACTGAGATGCGATGCTGACCCCTGGCTACGTAGCGGCCGCCGGACATACACTTTGTACATCATGTACTCGACCTACTACCGCACGCCTCGCCTCTATCTCTCAGGCTATTCGCCCAACAACCAGCCGCTGCCGCCGCACGCCATGATGGATGACATCGTGGGCGACTACAAGGACAAGACGGTGACGCTTGAGGACTTCCCCTTCTTCGCCAACAACATCAAGATGGCGAGCGTGCACCCGTGCAAGCATGCGTCCGTCATGAAGACGCTGCTCGACCGCGCTGACGCCGCCCTGCGCATCCGTCGCGAGAAGCTGCGCGCGGGTCGCGCTGTCGGCGGGGACCAGGGGATGGAGGGCCTCGTCGACGAGTTGGGCCGGCTCGATGTGCGCGACGCCCAGGCCGCCGCAGATAAGAACGACGAGTGGGAGGAGGTGGAGCAAAGCGAGGTCGAGGAGCAGGAGGTCGCGATCCGGGTGGACCAGTATCTCGTCGTTTTCCTAAAGGTAACGTGCATTTCCTTTTTCCGACTTGTGGTCGTCCGTGAACGAAAAGATGCTAACGGTTTGCAGTTCATGGCCAGCGTGACTCCCGGCATCGAGCACGACTTTACGATGGGTGTATGAATGACTACTCTTCTTCCCATGAACATGGCGCCTGGGGTTCTGGTCACATTTCTCTCTCTCTCTCTCTCTCTCTCTCTCTCTCTCTCTCTCTCTCTCTCTCTTTTCTTTTCTTTTTTTACGGATCTAACGGGCTTGAGCAACGGGTGAGGCATGGGTTCCTTATTTCCATTGGATTACCGGGGGTGGGGGGGAATGGGATAGATTCACGGGATTGGCTTCGAACGGCGATGGAAGAACTCAGTGGACTTCAAAGTCAAGGCGGGATCATTCCGCCATTGTTACTTTCAAAATCTTTTTACTCTTCATTTCTTCCACATGGCGGATGTAGAGACAGGCTATGTGCCACACCTGTCCACGGGGATTTTGTGGTAACGTGACGAACTGGTGGCAGAATACGGTGAAATGACCATTTGCAACTTGGTTCTAGGCTAACGGCGATGTGTCGTGTGGGCGTTGCACGCATTTGATGTCGGACCGGTTCCGACAACCTGCGTCAGAGGCAGCCGGCCGGATTTCATACAATGTCAAGTCATGCAGCCGTCCGTTCTCCGAGCCGGTGTCGTTACACTACACGGCCGGCGCGATAGCGACGACGGTCTTCACCCGCTTCCTGGCCAAGACTGTGCTCACGGAGACGGTGAGCGACGCCTCGACGCCGCCCAGCCGCGCATAGAGGCCTGTACGGTCGCGGCGGACGACGCGCCCACCGCGACTGCTGCTGCTGCCAGGCAGCCCAGCCGTAGGCGAAACAAGGTCGCCATTGCGCCCTCTTCGAGGCACTGCAGTCGCGTCCCTGTGCGGTGTCGGCGGGCCTAGGTCTAACTTGTTAGGTTCACCGCACTCCAGAAGGACGGCTTCCCCACCAAGGGGAGGAGTAAGAACTACTCCGGACTTTGTTCGTCAGCCTCCAACTTGGGATACTGCCCGGAGTAATACTCCCCTACCAAGCAGGCGACGATTGTGCCAACCGTCTCTGAATTCCTCCCGTCAGCTTGCAGGGCAGGAAAAGGCCGGGCCAGACACAACAGGTCTCTTCTCGTACGCCTGCAACGTTTGTTTCTGTCCCGTTCACGTTTGTGAGTGTACGATCAGCGCGGATTGATTCAACCGCAGGTTCAGGTCGCTGTAAAGACCGACAGGGCTGTTGGAGGCGTCAATGACGAGAATCTGTGCGCGTTCGCCTGCTGTCGTACGTGGTGTCCCTCCGACGTTTGCGGGGTCGTCGACGAGAGCAAAGACAAAAATGAGGAAGAAGAAGAACCCGTTAACCCTTCAGAAACTTGCAAAGTCAAATGTAGGACATACGATGAAAGAAGGCTTGACCGTGAAGGCGAGTACATGAGTTGGTACTTGATGAGCCCAGAGTACGCAACCACACGACGAGTAGGCAATACGTCACGATCGTCAATCTCACGCCACATGGTTTTAAACTTACATATACACACTCTTGTCAGATGGATGAGTACAACTTGGGCGACTTCCCTTCTGGCAGGGCACGACAGAATTTTGCGCATTACATCGAGAGTGGCAATGCGAACCCTATTGACGACAATGGAGAGGCCTGCTACGACATCGGGAATACTGGCAAGAAGTTTGTTGTTCGTGTCATGACTCACATCCCGGATACCTGCCCGAAGCGCGAGTACAAGGCTCCAGAGCAAGAGGTCCCCGTCACCCTTGTTATCACGGGTAACGATTCTTTTGGCTTCATCACCTCGCTGTCCTACGGCCCCGGCGACTATATGAACTCGACCAAGGATGATATCAATCACCGCAAGCTGCTTGATGCGATCATGCCAGGCACACATGATTCTGATATGAGCAATACCACAGAAGCTATCCTGATGAGCGCCACTGAGTCCAACACACAGACTCAGGGGCTCAGTGTCTACGCCCAGCTCCGGGTTGGGGCACGCTGGTTCTAGTTGCGTGTTTCCACTGTGCACGAGGTTACCACCAGCAGCTACGAGTATTGGACCACACACCTGAGCGACGAGATGGCTGAAGTGACCATTGGCAGGTCCGGCGAAAAGTTTGACGATGTCGTTAGTAAGATCAACAAAGTCACCAGCGAGAATCCTGGTGAAGTAATCGCCATTCAATTTCGCGGTGTGCGCAACGTGCCAAGCAAGGGGCCCGTTTACTGGGACGAGACCATCAAGAACAAGCCCTTTGACAAACTGATCGAGATCAAGAGCCGCTGCAGAAAGCTCGACAGACCGGTTCAAGACTATACAACGGAAAAGCTGATGAGCAGTAAAAACGGCAAGGGCTGCGTACTCATATTCTGGGAAACGGCGCATATGAAAAACATTCCGGATGCTAAACGCATCTCGACTGAGGACATCATTTACCGCAAGGATGCCATCGAGTGGACGGACGCCTGACCCGCCAAGGGAGACACGAAGGACGTGGCCAACTTTGCCATAGACTTTCGGCAGAAGAAGAAGAACTTCCACATCGGTCAGTGGTTCAGCACGCCGAGCCCACTCACTTCGACGTACCCCTACAGCATTCAGTCCATCGCTGTTCTGCCCACAAATCCGGCTCTGTACTGGAAAGGCGTCAACAGTATCAACTCCGCTGTCCTCTCGAACGTTTTGCTAGCAGACTACATTGGGATCGTGCTTCTGAACGACGCATAATGGGATTCACTGAGCGTCGAGCTGTACACCTTGGCTATTGGTCTCAACCTGTACACCATCAGCGAGAACTGCGACATCAACAAGAGGCGATCGCCGCTGCTGACGAGCCCCAAGAATCAGAGGCGGCCTCCCAAACCGCTCGTTTCCCAGTTCAACGGCATCATCTTCGCTAATGGAACGACCATTGAACACCCTCCGCCTGGCTTCCATCCCGAACGCGTGGAGATCCTGAGAAATGGTACGGCGTTTAGCAATGGTGCTGTCTTGAAGGAGGATGTGCCAAACCCGGACCTCAACTCTACATTACTTTCAATCCTTCGCAATTTGGGTATGTATTCATGTCATGCGCTGATTCATTCCGGATGATCTAGCTTGGATGTATATTGTGCAGCTCGGCTGAGTTGTTTCTTACCAATACTGCAAATAATAACACCATCGTGCCTTGCCTCGGGCTGCACATCGTGAATAACATGGCGGTTTTGTCGCATTCGTTGTGAGAAATGCACAACACAAGAATTGATAAGCCTCTTGGTACTAATGCCGAAAGCTGGCCGATGATCGTAGTTCTACTTGTATTCATGCAAGCCATGTACGTACAACTGTTAGCTGGCGTAAAGGGGGAAAAAGAGAATATTTGGATTCTTTCTTCCCCCTGAGCCGTGTAGGGTTGCGCAAAAGATTGGTTTTACGAGTGGGGATAATCTTGTCACGATCCTAGTGTTAGTCCATGACGCGGAATAAACATGTAAAAGATGTGCAAACGGTCCTCGGCCTGTCAACCCCCATGTCCTAAGCAGCTAGTAAGCTTAAATGAATACCAAACTGTCGTTCACTTTTTTTTCCTCTTCCGGATCTCGCGCTGAGAAATTATGTCTTCACAAGCTCATCAAGTACTTGTCTTTATAGAAGTTGACGTATCGTTTCCTCAGGAGCCTAGTGTCAAACCAGGCTCCCAAGCAGCCTCGCTGGTCCACATAGACTGTTATGAAGGATGCAAATGCCTTCCTCTATGTTAGTTATATAGCCTGTTTCGATATGATATAGCAAGCCGCTGGCTATGAGGCTTGTGTGCCTCGCAATATCAGGACTAATATTACTCTCGCCTAGGATGAGGAGCAGTTTTTGAACTTGTTGAGTCGTGTTCAACCGAGGCAGATGGACAACGCCGAGACAGCGAAAGGAAGTTTGTTTGGTTTCCAAAAATCTGGTAGACCTGCCTTTGTCAACCAGACTCATATCGAGAAGACTGTCACCGGAAAGTTGGCGTTGAGAAAGCCTATGACATATCTCAATGATTCATATATTGCCATTGAGTAATACATACATCAAAGTCTGTGTCTTTGCTGCTCCTGGTATTACGGTTAAGTCCCACAACTAGTCAAAAGGGATACTATATAAGGATGGTGCCTCTGTAGATAGCTATCTCCTAGACCAGGACGTAGCTGCCGCTACTGCCGTGCCAAAGTCTCCGCCACTAGCAGTGTCTCCTGCTTGATTACCCTTCAATTCACGTGAATCAGAAACATGTTCCACGTCGTTCTCTGTCATACGTTTGGCATCAAAGCCTAGCATCTGCTGAGATATCCGTACAACAACGTGGAAAACATACCAATCAATGTCTACAGACTGTAAATATTACCCCTTCGTTTTATGATCAGCGGACCCTCACTCGCGTATACGGGCCAGGAAGGCCTACGCGTAAACTATGCATGAAAACAACCGAGGCTCGAAACCTGTTATGTAGACACCAAAGCTCATGAGGGTGGTATTAGGTCTGAATAAGGACGGCTTCGATATGTCCCGTGGCTCTCAATGTCGCCACCGACAAGATGTGCAGACATGCGCCTCGGAGGTTCTTGGAATAGCGTGCCCTATGCTTTCCAAAGGTAATCTACGTGTCCCCGTCACAAGCAAAATGTTTCTTCGGTTGCTTTGTGGCATATGTGGAACCTCTGAGCTGGCTGGCGGGGGATCTCCCGCGTAAAGGTTGTCGAATATCGGCGCAGACGTTGACCAGGCCGAGTAGTGTTAGTTAGGCCTGCCTCACGCGCGGGCCGTGCTGATCGCCGTCTGGGTACGCAGCAAGCACGAGGTCGCGCCAACGAGGAGAGCACGACACCCAGATAAATGCCGACATGGCACACGAGCCCCTGCCCAGCAAGCCGACCTCGGACGCCGGCATGCATCAGCTCCGCCGCCACCAAGGAACACAACATATGGCGGCGGCTTGTGGGGTAGAAGCCGGCCGTATTCCTGTAGACAGACAGCGCGGGAACGGCGTCTGCTCTGTGCCATTGGGCGACTTCGACCACAGCCGCCATAGTCGACGGCACGACTTACCCTTGTCGGACACCGAGGCCGTCGCTCGCCCATACTATGTATGCCAGCCGTCACAGACCCGTCCTGTTCCCACAACCATATACCCTTACCTACCGGTACCCTACATGATGCTGGCTCTATCACACAGCATCCCAGGGGGCTGACACTAGCTTGCATTCGGCTCGTCTCACGCAGCCGTGCTATGTACCAATCCTCCAAGCCCAGCCCAAGTACCCAGTACTTTTACTCATTTCCCCCACGGAATGCTTCGACTCTTCCTTCCCCCCCCCCTTCCCACTGCCGCTCTTTTCCAAGATTAGTCAAGGGCCACGCGTCTTGAGTCTTATCCTTAGCCAACGAGACCAACCAAGTACGCCATCACGCGGCATCAGTGCCACAGACTACTCCGTAGAGCCCACCCTAACGCAGCGCCTATCCAGCACCGACCGGCGTCGCATCTTTTGTACACCCCCAGGAGAGAGCGGGAGAGACAGAGACAACAACGAATTGTATGCCTGACCGACTAGATGGCGCATGCGGAGGACCCAGCGAGGAGGCAAGCCGCATGACAAAGAGCTGGCATGCTCCCCTCCTCTGCCAGTTGCCGATCTAGCCGTTCCCCCCGTCGTCTTGGCAAAGGCTTGACTCAATGTCAGTTTCGCTCGTCATCGAGCCTCAAAATCGCTTTCTCTCCGGCGCCTCGGAGCCGGTCAAGACTGGCCGTTCTCGGTCGGACGCAATGACGATGCGAACTCTGCAGCCACACCACCTGCACGACGCCCGGCTCGCGACTTCAAACTTGCCAATTTCAATTCGCTAGTTTCTCTCGTCGCGGTCGCGGTCGCGGTCGCCGTGGTCATCCGAATCGGGTCATGATGAAACCAGGCCTCGACGTACCCGTCTTCGTCGGTGAATAATGACAGAATGGATTTCCCGAGGCCACGCCACGAGAGAGGGGCCCGGCTTGGCTCGGGGCTCGGGACCGGCCTCGCGGTTATGGAAGCACGCGCCTACCCGAGACGAACGTTCGTGCCTCTGACCCCCCCCGCGCCACCGCGGAGTTGTGCGTCTCCTGGCGACTCAAACGCGCAGTGGTCCACACCGCCGCTCCTTCGCGATCCATGGTAAGGGGGAATGCCCGTTGTCAAGACCTCTCCCCATCATCACCTGCGGTCCACCAAAAGAATCAAAAGCCGCTTCGGCTCGGTCGACAAGATACTTTGCACATGCATTCCCGTCAGACTCTACAGCTAGCCGACCGATTAGGTGGGTGGACGGCGCGAGGTGAAAGAAAGGGGGGGGAGGAGGAGGAGGGGAGGGAGGGGAGAGTCACTTGGGCTAACAGCTAAGGCGACCTTAGCTCCTCTTGCCGCTCTCATCGCATAACTGGCAAGGGGGAGCCAGCCATCGCTGCTGTATTTACCGTTTCCTGCATCAGACCGACCCTCCAGCCCAGGCAGGACCGCGCAAGGCCTTCTTCCTCACCAGTCGCGAGCAGCACGGTCCCGTTAGAGGTCGCCGTAAAAAAAGCACACCACATGCCACCCGCCACATGCCACATGCCACTGCTGCTGCTGCAACCGCACCAGCGACAGTTACTCGTTCAACTAACTAGAGACTCGGTGAAGGGGTGACGGGCCAAGGAAGAGACGCAAACCAGGACGGAGGAGGGAGGGGGGGGGGGGGGGGGGGGGGCGTGCGTTGCACCCTCCTCAATACGGAGAACCGAACCCACGAGAGAATCAAGCAGAAGAGTCGAATCACTTCGGGAGACCCGGAAGAATGAGACGTCAGATGCACACAGGGCTGGGCTGACGGGCTTTTGCCGGCTGGTGGGTGTTGGCTTGTTTGCTGGCTGGCTGGCTGAATATCGCTCTACCCTCACCACCACCTCCTCCATCCATCTTCTGTCATAGCAGCACACACACGCACACAACAATGCTGTTGTCAAGGTGGTCAAGCCTTCGACTGACCCTCCGCTGCCTCCCCCCTAAAGTAAAGCAGGTTTTTCTAATGTGCCAAAAGATGACGGGACGCGGAAGCGAGCCCAGAATACTCCCAACACCACCCGAAGAATAAAAAGCCAGAGACAAAAAAAAAAAAAAAACAGGAAAGGGGAAGAAAAAAGAGAAAGGCGGGGAAACGTGAGCTTCATTGGGTCCGCCAGCTCCGGCTGATTGGGTCGCATGCACACCATATGCATGCACACCATGCCCGCTCGCTCGCGGTAACGTTTCCCTGGAACGGCTGGTTGATTTCCAGAAATGGGTTCGCGCTGATTACCGTCCAACACCCCTCTCTCATTTTCTCCCGTACCTTCATTACCGTTTACACGACGCCTGACGTTTGTGTCATGTTAGGTGACCTGACACCGCTGGGGGGGGAAAGGGGAAGGAGCGTTGTCCGTATGTGGACATCCGAGGTCGTATACGTCACTACAAGTAAACACACTGTAAACAGAGACGCGCCTCGGCCCTCGTTGCTGGGCATATGAGTGTATGCCCACCCCTTGACTCTCATTTTCCCTGCCTCGGTGTGTTTGTGTTTGTGTCTGTATGCGTCCCTTGTGTGTGTGCATACCTGTCTGCTCTGATTGTGGGGGAACTCTCTGCTGAGTGTCCCCCATGGGGTGAGCCAGGTACATCGTGTCGAGACCTCTTGGCGAATCCTTTCTAGGTCGATGAACAATAGACATACACGGTAAAGAGACACAAGCCCCCCACCCCCCACAGCTCAAGGTCTCAACGGTCACTCATCTACAGCAGACAAGTACCTAAGCGAATTGATGCAAAATATTACAGTGTAATTATTTGATTTCAAGACTATGAACGTGTCCTCAACCAAGGCTTAGGTTTTGTCTATCCTATAAAACGGTTGAAGTACTCCGCGCTTCTACTTGCACGCGCATGGCTTGACAGCCCTCTCAGATCTATGTCCTCTGCCTTGCCCTTTTCTTAAGCGCACCCCCTTCATCTCCCTTGCCGCACCCTTGGCTTTGGGACTTGCGTGCGCGTGTGTATCATCAAAGGTAGTTTTGATTATGTACAACATGCACATCTCATATGCCCTCTTTATCGGCCTGGATGTTGTCTTGCGTGTATGTGCGCATATTCTTGTGACGCAATGCAGGGCTGTGGCGCTGTAGCCCCTGCTGCTTCACCCGCTCAAGTACTGGGTGCATTCCCAAAAATAAAAAAATAAAAAATAAACCCTTTCTCCAAAAGCTCATTCCCTGAGCCTCTCAGTGAACGCCTTGTGTAGTGAGCAAGCTGTGGCTCACATTATGGAGCCACCCCCCAAAGATATAACTGCGGCTATGCAGAATATGCAACATGTAAAAAGTCGTATAATCATATCGGGATCTAGTCAATAACCCGTTTGGCCTGGCATCTTGCCGAGTGAGTGGCCGTGGCTCTCGAGTGGCAAGTGGTTATGGCAGAACACCCTCTTAGTGTTAAGCTGAGCACTGCCCTTCTTGGTGGCGTCGATAAGGTTGGCAGGGTCGTCGTAGCTCTCGAGCTGGCAGCATTCTATGTTCTTGACCCAGCGGTGGTTGGCAATATCTGAGATGGACGCACGCTTTGCGGGGTTGGGGTTGAGCATCATGAGAAGCACACGACGGAGTGCAGGCGGAGAGACCATTAGGTCGAAGGCCGGGTAGTGAGGGTAATCCGTTTCCGTCATGCGAGCATCGGGCTCAGGGTGCTTGGCCTCCCACTTCTCCCATCCCTTGAGCAGCAGCCTGTAGCCCTCATGAGAGGTATCGGCCCGCTTCCAGATGTTGCCTCCAAAAGTGAGGTAAATCATCACGACGGCGGAGCTCCACACGTCGAGGCCTCGAGGATCGTACTCGTCTTGCTTGAGAATGACCTCGGGCGCCGTGTATGGCTCGCTGCCGCACATGCCAGGCTTGCACAGCCGGATCTCGTCGCACATGCCCTTGCCGCATTGTCCACCAGCTTCACGGAAGCCGGGGTGATGGCCGGTGAAGACTTCTGACACACCAAAATCGGTGATCTTCAGCTTGCTGTCCTTGGTGATGAGGAGGTTCTCGAGCTTGATGTCGCGGTGAGCAATGCCGTTGCTGTGGAGGTAGTTGACGCCCTGGATGAGCTGCTTGAACAAGCAGAGTCGATCGCTCTGTCTCGCCGGGTCGGTCAAATAGCGCTTGGCAATTAGTCCGTAGAGGTCGCCCTCGGAGCAGTATTCCATAACGTGGTTCCAGCGGCCGTGATCAGTGCAAAGTCGAACCGTCTCAACGATGTTAGGATGGTGCAAACTCTTGGCGATGCTGAATTCCGACTTGATCTTCTTGACGTACTCGTCCTCCGTCTCCTTCTTTCTCCTGGCTCTGAACTCCTTGACTGCGTAGAGCTCATTCGGGCATCCCTTCCGGCACATCATTGTGACCTTGGAGGTGGCACCCTTGCCAAGGTGCTTGCCATGACGGCCAAACAGCTTGTGCTGGTATTCGAACTCTGACAGAAGCTCGGCGACGTCAACTTGGAAATCATCGGGGAGACTTAAGCTCATGCGACGAGCCTTGACACCGACACCAGCGTCAGGCATCTGAGCCCAGGGAGAAGAGCCTTGCATAGGCAGGACGGGGTTCTTGAAATGATTGTCTAATGCAGGCGCAAGGTGACGGCTTTCAAGACGACCTTCGAAGCTGCTGGCGCGTCTCCTTCCCAGAGGAACCGGCTTCTTCTTGGCTGCGAGCTTCTCTCGTCCAGGGACATTGGCGCCGACGAAGTTAACAGCCCGGCCGCGGAGGCTGGTGAAGCCGGTCGAGGCCCTGTTCTTCTTCTTCATTTCATCCTGAGAAGACATGATTGACACGGTGTCGACAGGTGAGCCCGGCGACGGAGGCGTGTTGGACCTCGTCGTGTTCCTTGACCTGTTCATTGAGAAGCGTCCGCCACTGCTCTGGGCAGGTGCCGAGTCAACCACTGCACTTTCAGAAGCGTCGTTGGCTTGGGCCAAAAAGTCGAAATCAGGCCTATTGATGGACGAGTTGGATCTGCGAAAGATGTTGGACATGGTCCGTTTAAAGCTGGTTGTAGAACCTCGGGTGGGCCGTCTTTGCAGTGGAGTGAGTGGCGGTTCTTGGTCAGCAACAGGATCAGCTGAAGCTGGAGGGTTGGCGGGCTTTGGCGTCGCAGCCAACGTGTTTGTGGACGAAACCGCGGGAGTGGGTGCGGTGTTGACCAACAGAGGCTTCGGCGTGGCCTGCACCTGATGGGTGGACTGGCTCTCGGTAGCGAGGTTGGTGTCGTGATGGTCTTGACTGGGGCGGGTGGTAAACTCCTGGGACTGTCTCCCACTGCTGACGGGGGTCACAGGTTCATTCGGCGATTCGCTTTCGGACTCGTCGACTTCTTCGATGGGAGAAGAAAGATCGGTAGGAAATTGGCGAGGGGACGAGGACAGACTACTCGCGTTTTGTTGCTCGGGTTGCCGTTTGTCTTGGATTGCTAGTATCATTAGTGAGCGACGACTTCAGGGACGCTGCGGACGGAAACAGGGCGGGTTGGGAACAGCTGCTCAATGACGGAAGTGTAGCTAGGGGGTGCAGTGACCACCGGATGAGCGTACCTTGGGTGAGGGAAGCGGGCTGGCTCACCGCCAGGCTGGTGAGGACGGTCGCCATGTCTCTTCGGAGTATGGCCGGTGGGCACAACGACGGCAGCGGCGAAGGGTGTTCTAATCAGGTATGGGTACAATACGTAATTGGGCCACACACCACCTAGAGAAAACGCTTGGTGCTGGCGCAAGTGCTGATATGGGTCGGGTTTTTGGAGTGCGAATTAGTCCGCGGCGTTTCCGAGGGGGTCTCCAATTCTCTGGTCTGGGCTTTTAGACAAATGGAGGGGGGAGTAGCGTGTCCCCAACTATCGGTTATAGAAGCACCAGCGTGAAAAGCCGATAAGCCGTGTCGAGGCTGGTGAATGGAGTTGGTATTGGCGCAGTGACCGATAAGACCTTTTCCAGCCAGGATCCAAGGACCCAAATGTGAGGGAGGGGGGGAAAAGACAAGAGTTTAGTTTTCTTGATTTTTATCCCATTGCTTGTGGCTGCAGGCGTTTTCTCTCGTGGTGTTGCTGTTGGGGTCAGAACGAGCGTTTGCCGTCGAATCAAGAGGGTGCCAGGCTTTTCGAGTTGGCAGCTTTCGCAGCACAGGAAGCCGCGTAAAATGTCTGGAGATGCAGAACTGTGGATGCACGCGTACGTACACCTGCGATTCTTGGTGTAAGGCGCCCGGGAAAGTGAGCTGTAAGGTCTCGAGATGTGATGGAGGGTGTTGGTCTTGATATTGGGACAGAGTAGGTGGGGATGAGAGGAAGAGAGACTGCAGACGTCGACGGCAGTGTATGTAGGAAAGCAGGGTGGGTGACTTTGCGGGTTGTCCTTGATGCTATTCTCGACTTGGGTCGAAGTGTGAAACGGGACGACGAGGCCGATGATGAGGTTACGGTCCGGTGCAGGATGGATATAATATTAGTCGTGGCTTAGGTCAGAGGAAGAGGCAGAGAGGGAGAAGCGCAGGAAACATGAAAACAATTCAGGAATTCAGGCGTCCATTGTGAGTTTGTCTCGGGGGCTTGGGAGGTGGGAAGGCTGCGAGTTTTGAAGCGTCGCAGGGGAGAATTGGTCGCGAACGAGACCAGGGGGAAAGGACCGTTTCTCGATTTGGATGAAGACAAGGTCGAAGAAGGACCCCCCGCTGCTGCGCTTAGAGGGGCGTGGGAGGAGTGGGAAAAAGACGCTCGAGAAGTCGAGCGCTATTTTGCGCCTCTAGATGGTGCGAGAGATGACAAGGGTCCTGTGCGAAAGAAGAATGGAGATGGAGGGATGGGGGTCGGGGAACTGCCTAGTGTAGTGTAAAGAGAGGCAGACCAGGTACGCAGTACAAATCGAAGTGAGTAGGTACAGTAGGTAGGAGCGTGCACAGTACCTCGTACCCTCCACAGCATTTTTACTTTGTCAGACGTTGGATGGTGGGATGGAAGGGATGGAGGGGTTTGGATGGGGGAGAGACATGGGGGGGGGGGGGATGGGGAAGAACGGGAAGTGAAAGGGGAGGCAACAACAAATGGGCGAGCAGGCGGGTTGGGTTGGTTGCGAAGAGAATTGGTCGTTCTTTTGGTTGGTAAGGAAGGTACGGATGGTGAAGCAGAAGATACCAAGGTCGGCAGGTACACTATCCAGGGCAGGTACGTACACTAGTGATACTATGGGGCCGGGGCATCCTGGTGGAGGCTTGCTTTCCTTCCATTTGATAGTCTACAGGAGGAGCAAGTGAAGCGTCGCAGCACAAAAACGGCAGCAGCAACAACAACAACACCAACAACAACAACAGCAGTGTCGCTGTACACGATACTTACATGGTAGCCACCACGGCATTTTTTGGCCTTCCCTTGATCAACACCCACCACCGCAGCTGATCGTGAAAAAATGAATCAAACACTTGGCATCCTCCCTCAGCAAGCGGCAACGGAGGCATCGAACAGTGCAGCTGTGCAACTCTCTGTCCAGCCAAGCCTGGGCCCAGACCAGTGTGCAATGTCCAGAGCTACCCAATGGCCATTCAGCAGGCAGCATTCGCGAAGGCTGCGGTCAAGACGGTGTGTAGCCAAGGAGCCACCAAAGACAAGCAAAATCCGCGGCGGGTGTTGCTCAAATGGCTGTCAAGTATTTTCTACCTAGTGACCTACGGATAGTGTACACCACAACCCGGTTGAGGGGAGGGGGAAGGATTTGAGCGAGCATTTGGGGAAGCAGTGACCACCTACCTACGTAGGCATGTAGGTAGTATGTACAGGTATACGGGATCACTGCGCTGGATGAATGGTGTTTGCAAGACGCGACTGGAGAATATGCCCTGAAGTGGAGCCGCTTCCATGCACATCCGGGGTCCACTCCACGGGCAGCACACCAGCCGAAACCCTGACAAGACACCCTCCTTCATCGCTCTCTCACTCGATCAGTTGCCCACCCTCATCGGCCCTTGTCATCGAACCCGAATGAGCCTTGCCCTGCCCCGTCAACATTTGTACAAACACTTACTACACGATATACAGTAGGTACTTGCACTACACTGCACTACTGCATTGTACTGCACCCTATCGTATCGCGCACCAAGGCACATCAGGCGGGACGGCATTGGCATTCCATGCCTATCAGTCGGCTGCTGCACGAGAATGGAGCGTCGACCTGCGACTTGGCACCCTACACCTACGCTGCCACCTGCAGTGCCTTGCCACTTTACCCTATGCCATCGGCTTCCATGACCTGGCCAAGGCGAGAACTACATAGTAAGTGCCTGAAGAAACCCGCGGATCCTGCCAGGAACAGCGCGAGAGCGAGCAATCAATGGTCGTCCAATGCAGTGAGCCTTGGAAACCGGAAATAATTCCAACGGAGGAAGCTTTCTAGAAAGAAAGAGAGAGAAGAAAAAGGGCCAGTCGTCGTCTCTGGCGGGGGGGCATCGCGTCAGCGTTGGCCAACTTACCTAGTGAGTGCGGATTCAACATGTAATTTTTATCTGTAACAGCGACTGGCATATAACACAGTCGGCGTTGACATTAGCTACCACAAAGTAGCTCGCGTAACAAGAATCAAATAAAAAGGTAGCCATTGGCACTGGCGCCTGACATTGGTAAGTATTGGCAGGTAAAGCAAGCAGGCTCGCAGGCCGGCGGTCAGCTTCACTTTTGCCTATCCATGTCCTATCTAATTACCATTCCATTAGCCCACGGCCCCGCCAATGTTGTGTGTATTTTTGGGAAGGGCGTAGGTGGGTGCGACGATGTCCAGCATGCGTCGTGACCGCAGTCCACGGTTAACGCCAACTGATAATGACTGCATAGATTGGCAAGATACTCAGCTCAACCCCGACTCCTGCCCTCACACGCTGGCGGATGAGACACATGAGATGAGTGATGCGATGGATTGCTTGGCTGAAAGCTGTCTTGTGTTTCTCTTGAAGCTCTAGCGAGCGTGGAGACATGGGAAAGAAGAGTCATCCAACTTTTTGCTTGCTTGCTTGACTTTGAAAAGGACTGGCCTCAATGGGTCTTTCGTTTCCTCGTCCCTGATTCTTCTTCCAGTGTGCCGTCCGTACCTTCGCTGCGCTACCGGTTCAGGGGGAAAAGGAGATCCTGAGAATGCTTGCCCTCGCGTATATGTGTCTAGCGCCTTAGAAGCCATCCGTGGGGAGCTAGGTTTCCTTTGTTTCCTTGAGCTCTTACTCGCTCTCCCGTTCTCATTCCACCCGCTCGTCCGTTCCCAGTCGAGAGTTTCCCTCCGGCGGGCGGTTCAACCAACGACGATAGAGTTGGGGATGTTGTGACAGCGGTAGGTACTACGTACTGGTCACATCCACCCTCCACAACACAACGCCATCCGCATATGCAATCCACCACGCCCGCGCCGAAAATGACGATGGCACGGATGGGTTCTTGTGCGTGTTGTGCGTGCTCCCCTTGGGGACAAGGGGAAGGGGCGCCACTTCGTGATCCTGGCGTCCTGCACAATATTACGCGTATTCGCGTGTCTCTGCCCGAGGTCGGTCCCGCTCAAACGGGGGCCGGTGCACAGATGGAGACGGGAGTAATGGATGACTGAATTGTATGCCAGCTCGGCATGCCGAGGCACGCTTGCTCGACCATGCCCTGTTCTGGGTCGACTCTTCTTACCTCAGACCGGCGGGCCTGAATCTATTTTTCGATACCAAGGATGGTAGTCATTTACCATGCTTGGCTTGGCTTGGCTTTGGCTATCACGATTGACACAATCCAAGGCGTGACAATCCACTGCCAACAGGGCTTCCTCTCCCACCTATTCATTCGATGGCAATGACAGACAGCCCAGAGCTTATGCGGAGGTAGAGGACCGTGGTTGATTGATTGACATTGCCCCCCCCCCCCCTCCCCAGGCCGTAGTCATGCCTGTGACTACGGTTGTACAGTAACTGCGGCTGCGACTGCCCCATGAGATGGATCGTCGAAGGTCTAATGTGTCACAGCCGCAGATGACAAAAAGTGGATGGCATTTCGCGACCCAGGCGGAGTTGACGCACAACGATAGACCATGAATGGTTGAGCATGTTACTAGAGCGATAAGAGGCACGAATCCTGTCCAAGATTCCTCACCCGGAGCCTGCTCATGGCCACGGCCAAAGGGATGAATAGTGACGAAGGGGCCATTTCACACGCGGTCCAACGGCGAGATTTGGTACATGGCACAAAGCGATGTGTATGGCGGTACGGCGGATAGCTGAGGTAAGAATACCTACCCTGTGTGCGTGAGAGGAGTGGGAAGGAGGAGGCAGACACGGAAGGCCAGGAAGGGACTCCTACGAGGCAAGAACGACGAGAAACAAGATCAAGAACAGAGAGAGAGAAAGAAAGAAAAAAACAGCAAGCACGGGGTCCACTCCCACGTCCCTTCCGTCATACGCAGTAAGATCCCGGGGCGTTGGATCCCCTCGATCCGACGGTTTCCCCCCTCATCGCCGCTTCTCCTCCACCGAGAAACCCACGAAGCCCTGATCAATTGCCTGTCATTACCGTGGACGCCCACACACCCTCGATCCCATAGGCCATCCCCACCTCCGAATCACCAACCAGCAGTAATCCTCCATCCAGGTGGCTCGCTCGGTGGATCTCTCCAAGGCGGTTCCTCGGAGGGCTGTCGATGGCAGGCTGTTACAGCACCACACCGGTGATTGGAAACTGAAGACTGGAGACTGGAGACTGGAGACTGGGGATTGGATTGGATTCAATATTACCGGGGGGCCCACGGGCTTCCTGTGCATCGGATCAAACACGGTGAGCGTGGAAAAGCCTCGCTACAGTGTCGGCAACCCGGAAGCTGGCTGTCAGCGGTCAAACCACGGAGAGTCTCCGACGATAATAGCCCCTAAGGGCCGACAGGGCCGTGTAATAGCGCTCATCGGCTGCTTTACGGCGCGAAGCAGAAAGGGTGCCTTCTACCATCCGATACCACCCACCCTCGCCTGGCTCGGCACCTGTTGGGCGATCGGATCCGGTAATTTACGTCTGTACGTTGCGTTATGCCTGACACAGTACCTACGTCGAATCGTAGTCCTCAGCGAACGCGTCTGTTGCCTCCTTCCAGAGACCGATCACAGAATGTTAATTGTCAGCGGCACATGCGCCTACGAAACAAACGCCAGCCGTTATCCTGTCACTGCCAGGAACAGCATGATACCCGAGCGCCACATCCTTGTTGGCTGTTGTTTGGCCGGAAATTCTCGATGCTCGAGTCGGAAGCATCTGTTTAGACAGCCTTCAAGTCAAAGTCAAAGAGACTTCAAAGAGCATCATCCAGCCAAACTCTGCGTCAAACTCCCAACCTCGCAGCTCAACGCTAATCGAATACCCGCTTCATGTCATCGTCGTCTTCGTCTTTGCCGTCGTCTTGGGCTTAGCCTGCTGTCCAGTCTGTCGTCTCTCAATTTCGGACTGGCTGAGGAGGATGTCAATTCGCACAACTACGTCCCTCAAGCCCCTATTCTGTTCCCCAAATGTAGCAAGTATGGAGAAGCGCTTCAGCATCCCCGGTTGTTGATGGATCGCCATTTGACGGTCACTATCGCGACTAGCCAGGGGCTCCTAGCTCTGAAAAGAAACGGCCCTAATCTGGACCCTGCGCAGCGCCGATACCTGTCGCATTGACATCGAACAATAGAGTACCGGTACGTACCGAGTTATGGTCGTCCTCGGAACTCATTTCTCACATGGTTCCAACAATTTCGTCAATTCGTCCCCCGGTGCCCTGCATTGCGGTCACCTGCTGTCGGTGCCAGCAGAAGCACATGCTCCGAACCGCGTGACTTGGCTGGAGCCTGTCACGCACGACATCATTCGAAAATACAAGACAATTTTCTCGAAGCAAAACTCGACGTCGAAACCACGAGATGAGGCCAGAGGCGCGCGTAAGGCGGTGTCTCCATCAAAGAGGAATCTCCACCTGGATCGCTAAACCATATGCCGAGCCTCCGACGCCCCAGCCTCCCTTGAGAATGGAGGAAGATGACAGGGGTGCCATTCCTGACGCCAGTGCGTCATGCTCCCCAGACCACGGTGGGGATCTTCAATCCAACCTTCACCAATGCCGAACGTTGGAAGCGCCGCCTACAACAGCACCCGATATTCACACCTTCACCTTCTTACCGCTTCTTCGCCTTACCTGACCCGAGGCATGATACTGGACCGTGGGCATTGCATCATAACTGCCCCCACGGAACAGCTATAGTCATTGGCATTTACGTCCGACACATGTATCTTGATGGCGGGCAAGGTGTCTGACGCACCCGAATGGCAAACATCTTGGCTTCACCGTTGTTGGGACGACAAGATCAGTTTGGTGGATTATGCCTTCGTCTCATGTCCTCGGTCTGCCATTCCAGCCAGCGCTGCTGCACCTAGACGTGCATCTAGATACCATATACATATAATCTTCCTTGGCAGTGCCTCGCGTTGATAAGCGTCTGCTATGGAGGAATTCGTTGGGAGCGCTAATCGTAGCACCGCAGTGACTGCCTCTCAAGGAAACCTAAATGAGATCGATGGCGGTGATGGTTTCGTCAAGAGTGAATCATCTACAAGCCGACCGACCGGTTGTCTTTACACCCTGCAACGCCGCACTACGCTTTGTTAGAAGCGGCGGCGCTTGTCGCGAGGGAACCACATGTTTCTTAATGTTTGATTGGGTTTGTTTGACGTTTGCAGAGTGTCTGAGTTGCTCGGCGTGCGCTTTGCTCACTATTGCCGAGCATATACTATGTATTTCATGATCTCAACAGCCTTACGTCAACAGATTGGGGCAATGCCGTGCGGTAAGCTCAGGGAGGCGAAGCAGCCCAAGAAACACTTGGCTTTTTGCTGCAATCAACGTCTCATATCCGGGCCAGCGCAGCCGTCGACGTGCAGACCGAGAACTCTGGCGAGTGCAGCGTCCGGGCTCCTGGTGCGTTGTCAGTGCTCCCTTGCCGGCGGCAGGCTTCCGGGATTCTGCAACGGCACCGGGATGGACAAACCTAGCTATTGGAACGCAGCTAGCCCACAGCTCTCGGTCTCATTGATCTCAACTAGTTGAAAGTTTTGGCCGGTGCCTGTTTCATAACTACACCCGTTGATCATCAACCCGGCTGTCGAATGTGGTGGGTTAGACTACGATTGGAACCGCCTACGCAGCACCAGGCCACGTAGTAGTACCTTACATGGAAAGCCCCGGACTAACGCTTCTATTAGGCTTCACGCAGGCGTGGAGCACCGAATCTAGTGGACAAGCAAGATGCGCACTGCGTAAGCCAAGCACTCGTCAACTTGCAAACGTGCATCCCGCCGCCCGGTCTACCTACACTCGCGACTGACAACTTCTTTGGGGATCTCAGAGAAGCACCAGAATGAATTTTGAACGAGATGAGAGGGCCGCAAATGGGCACTGCAATCGGTATGCGTGGAATCAAGCACGGCCTCTGCGGCCACAACGAATCAACAAGTCACGGTTGATAAACAACGGTTAAGATCATCCAACCGTCAGTCAGTCGGTCACCGCCATCGGTTTTTTACGGAGCTTCAAGGTCATCCGCGTCGCATCCAGTCACCAGTGACATCCACGCGTAATGAACCCGTATTAAAGCGGCGTTGGATAGGGGTTGAGGGTGTGCAGCCGCGGTGGTTTTATGACAGCCCTGTTGGCCACGACATGTTTCAGCACCCTAACGACGGGGCGTGATATCCCCCCACGCTTGTTGGGACTGTACGCGCTTCAAGGCGACACGGTGAATGGCTCGCTTGCACTACTGCAGGTGGACAGAAGGGAACATGCGATGCGCTATGAAATAGCTGGGCATTGGCGCTTGCCGGTGCTACGGCGTACGGAGACGAGAGGAGTGGGTTGCCAACGGAGGAGAGGACGGGTCATGGACCTCATCACTTGATCGTGTGAACCCGAGAGGGCTCGCTTTCTGTTTCTGGCTCGACGACTTGGCGACCGAGATGCACCGAAATGAGGCACCCGGGATGCTGTGTCAGTCACCGACAATCGGCCCCAGATTTCAGCACGGTCTTTGACACCACATTTTAATCGTCGGCGCTGGAGCCGCCGGTGGGCACGCGTCCTTATCAGGCAAGCCCGGGCGATAATATGAGCAATAATATCCCGCGGCCAAGACCGAATAGACAAGACGATGTCGGAGCCCTCGTCGGTGACGAATACGGAGATACTAGCACAGCACTGCCCGACTCGAGTGTGTGTCTCGCGCGCTGATCGTCCTCTCTGTCGCCTCACACACACACATACGCACACACAAACTATCAAACTTGGCGAAGTTAGTTAGTGCCCAAGTAAGCAATGCAGCCCATAGCGCGGATGGTTCTCGATGGCGTCCCTGAAAATGCGACGTGCCCCCCCAACTTAACCCCCAAACGATTCCATGATCCAAAGTTGTTGAGATGGCGCTGCCGAAACCCAATTTTCCCCAGCTAGGAGCTCCAGGCGGGGTTAGATCTGGGTCTGCATGTCGTGTTTGCAAGGAAGTTGTCGCATTGGAATCATTGAAATATCGACACTGAAATAACGAGCAGCGAGGCCAAGGCTTGGCTGGTTGAAAAGCAGACGTGTTCCAGTGGCTCATCTATATTGTTGTAATTGTCCGGCATGTGTAATGCTGTCTGTCTTCTGACGCTAAACACTCATACCACACGCCTGTCTTGGGTCTAGCCCAGGAAATGGCTACGGACAAACGCCTACGTCCTACAGCGTGATGGACAACAGATGAAATTCGCTGGCGCCTCATGGGACATTTTATGTCGTGGGCGTGGGATGGCGGGGATTCCACGATCTTGGCCTCAGTTGACGTCTCGTATCAGCGTTTGACGGATAAGACATACTTTCACCTACAGACTGTACGAGTGGCGGCGGGGTTTCCTGTCGCTTCGCACTTGGATCTCCTGCTCTCTTCGTCGCTCGCTTGAAAATGGGAGGCGGACGACACTGGAATGGGTTGGGAGGTGTGGCGGCACAGGACCCGTGGCCGGCCGAGCAGCCAAAGACGAGGTCTGTATTACGGAAAAGCTCTCGAACCGCCATGCTCACACAGTCGACGCATCTCCGTTGCAGATCCGCTGCCATCAACATCATCACCAGCCTCTTCCTCTCCTCCCCGAGGCTCGGCTGTCCCCTTTCCGGTCCGCTCGAACCTCCTTGTGGGTGGCTGGCTCCTCTGCACTCGGCGATACATTTCGCCAAGCCAAGTGGCGGTGAGCCGGAGACCACCGAAGCCCTGAAAATGCTGGCCTGCATTTAAATGCTCGCCGACAGACCGTTCCCCGTATCCCCCCCCCCCCCCCCCCCCCCCCTCTCCAATCCCAGTCTCAAGCTGTTGGCCGATGCTGCTGGTCAAAATGGGGAGTGGGAGGTCTGTTACATTTCCAGCCGGGCACAAACTATTCGTTGAACTTACCCCAGCCTGATACCTGGGGAAGTTCATGCGACTGACTGCCTTTTGTTTTGGAAGCGCCCACTTACACGGACGAGTTTGCCGCGGGTTTCCGTGCTGCAGGTCGTGTTTGTGACTGTGCCTATGAAGGCAACCGTCGTTCCACCGCAGACGGACACATTTTCGAGTACTTCCTCTGCTTCGAAGAGCAAACGCGAGTAGAATCCTCACCGGCCACCACGCCACCACGCGATGTTGCACCAGAGTCTGGGGTTCGTGTGGTACAATCCTTTTTTTCTGGCTAATGCTCAGAACGGGTTTCCCTTGTTCCGGGCTCAATCACACCCACACCCACGTAACACGAAGAGAAGGGAAACTGACCACTCGTGCCTCTCTGTACATGCGGCGGCATCTCAAGGAGGGAGAAAATCCCTCACATGCTGACTGGGCGGCCAGTATGCACCATGATAGGTTGTAGCAAAGATGACGGCGGTGGCCTATGCTCATATTCCCACATGTGGCTCATCACTCTTTGACCAAATACATCTCCTTCATGTACCGGATACATCGCGTACGGTTTCAACCATACGCATCTGCCGTCGTCGTCCTGCGGCTCAACAAGTTGGTCTTCCTGCGTCGGGGATAAAAGGGACAGCGGGATCGAGGCCCTCCTGCAGGTTATCGGGGGAGGGGGGAGGGGGGAGTCTGGGACCTTCGACGTTGCCCCGAAAGGCCGAAAGGGTCGTTATCATCATTTTTGCCTGCATGATGGACATTTTGCCATCCGACCATCTCCGGAGGGGTTGGCGAGTTGCGATAGCGAGCCAGTACTTTGGGGAAAAGACTTTTTTTCTGGCCGGAACCTTATCTCTCGTGGCGAAGGAGAGGGGAACCGCTAGACCTTCTAGAATCTTTCTCCCACCTTGCCCGAGTTGGAGACGTCAGCATCCGCTAGTGCGTATTGGCTCCGCAAAGTCTGGGCGATGATCAATCACCAGAAAAGTAAGTCTTGACGGCGGATGCTGCACTGTTCAACCAGGTTGCCTGCCAAAAGGGCAACCAGGCTAAGAGGGGGGGGGGGGTGGTCAGGGGAAGCTTGTCTCGATGTTTGCCTGGAGATTGCCACCTCGACGGGTTTCTTGGCCCATTCGGGGATCCTCATTGAGCGATGAGATGTGCCATCCGTTAGAGTTACGGTGCCAAGCCAAGTATTATGGCTCTGGTTTTCTTTTCTTTTTTCTTATTCCCCGTCACTTTCGTGATTTGAGTTGTCTTCCTTACCGGTGCAATGCATCCGTTTCTAGTTCCTGCCCGCAGATTCGCTCGACCAGCGAGGCGCCGGTGGGAGAGTTACACATACACAGGAGGGGGGGGGGGGGGGCAGCAGCTTCAAGTCGTTGGTATACGTGTATGATTGACACAGGTGCCCCGTATATGCTCCGCCGAAGTTCAGACGGGGATTAAGGCGACGGAGAGGAAGGATCGGCCCAAGCCGTGGGCGTGTGGGCGAACTATGCGCAGTAGAAACAGGTCGGCGAGAGAGTCCCCGTCTCCCGGAGGCTCTGTACATGCCTTTTGTGTTGAGGTTTCCGATATGGGTGGAAATTAGCTGCCGGCAGGCGGGCGTCGATCGGTGTGTTCCGTCCGCTGTACGCTCAAGGTAATGTAAGGTGAGGAAAGGAGAGAAAGGGCACGTGTCTCGAGCTGATGCGATGCGTTGGGCCGGGCGTGGCTACAACCTGCAGCTGCAGCCTTGATCGGCGCGCGCGTCCGATGACGGAAGCTACGCGCGGTCCTGGGCAGTGAGCTGGGAGCTTGGCTCCCAATGGATGTTGCCAGGGGCGAGGGGAAGCGTCGAGGGTGGCTTTGGATTAGGTTTTGGGGGCGCGTGCCGCGGGGATTTTGGTTCTCTGCCATATTGGCTTTTCGCGTTCTCGGCAAGGTTGGAGGCAGTGGTGGAAAGGGTGTGTGTGTGCGTGTGTGTGTGTGTGTCTGAAAAGGTTGCTTAGGGAGAAGGCGGTGCCAGAGGCTTGGCTCACAAGGTTCAAGCATCGTGGCTTGAAGAAGATGCTGTGTCGTGTTGGAGAGGGCGAAGCTCTCTCGAGTTCTCGCGGGAGAATTCTCGGCGGCGGTGAGTGGCGGATGGCTCGTCGGTAGGTAGTCGGCCAACTGTCTGGTTGATGATGATGATCAAGGGGTTGGAGAACGGCCCGATGTCGTCGTGGCGTCTGGCCCAGACGACACGGCAATGTATGCTTTGCGGAGCAGGCTTGTGGTTCCAGCGTCGCACCCCCCGAGTGAAGGGCTTTCGATGCTTCGTTTGAGAACATGTCACGTCTGAAGAGATGTGCGGAATGGTGAAGAGGTCTCGGTAGGCACCATGAGTTTGAACCGGTCTACTCCTATCTGTCGGTTGAGCCGTAACAAGCGCGGTGACGATGGCCTGGCGATCAAAGAACGGTCGCCGTGGTGAGTTGCACACTTCTGAACCGAGATGAGAGGAACTATAGCTGGGAGATATGAGAAGGCGGCGTCGCAGGTCTGTGGGATACATGTCCTCTCACGTAGCAAGCCCCCGCCCTCCCTTCGTTCTTGTCGATTAGCTCTTCTCTGGGGAGTCTCGATGGAAGCAACGCTTCTTGGCCAAATCGAACTGTTATTGTCACCAAAGCCCGGGCTTCACGTCCATTTTGGCCTGGAGAACATTAGAATTCGCAGGTGGGGGCGAGCGTCATGAATGGGCGATGGCCACGATCAGGTTTACACGGTACGACGGGCGAAATGCGTCCAAAAGCTGCCAAAGACTACTTTGGCGCTGTGGTCAAGACCACCCCACGCTGCCTGAATCCGTGGCCGCGGATGGATGTCAGTGGTTTGATTGCCACGGCGGCAGGGCAGATATCACGTAACGTTCTTCCTCTTTTTGTTATCGTAGTTGGCTATCGCCAGGCGTCGACGCCGGGGAGTTAGTTGCCCACGTGAAGACACACCCTGTTCTCTGAGGGCTTGAGCAGCCAGGAGTCACGCGGGGTCCATGTTCGCAGGGTATCGGTGCGAAAAAGAGCCACAGACGCTCATTCATAGCAGATACTCGCGAGGCTAATCTGGAAAGCGTTCGGGATAGGCCATACCCGACTTCGGTTGTCATTCTGAGATCAAGTCGGTACGAGGCATGCGTTGATTCTCTGAAGTTCCAAAGAACACCAAGACCGTCTCAGGGCGGTGAGTACGCTCAAGTATACCTGCTCAGGCTCTGCTTCCAACTTTGGCCAGCGAAGCCTAGGGGCGTTTTCATGCCTATTTAGGGTCCTGGGGTCGGAGACAAGTAATAACATGTCGAGTACGAGCACGGAATCCGCCCATCAGCCGGGTCTTTGGGGATGGAATAACGACTCTTCTCATCGACAGGGTGCTGTAATCGTTGATGTAGTTGATATCATAGCCTGCGAGGCGTCTACTGAAGCCCTTGAATGGCATGGCGGCTTTGCGTAGTTCGGGAGAATACAGCAGCCGAGTTTCTTCTTTCTGCCGACAAGAATCCGTCATTGGGGCAGATTCAAGTTTTGACATGTTCAAACAATATGTTTATAATCATCATAGAAGCATGAAACGAGCGCTCCGGCGACTATCTCTGACAAGGTGAGAGAAGTGATGGGTTCCTGTCGACGACCTCGAAAGCAGCCTTGAAGCTGCCAACTGCCAACTTCGCCGTCGCTACAGAGTGTGCCAACTCCTTTAACCGGCGCATATAGCCAAGAAAGCAGCAGGTCTCGGTGTCGGGGATCAGACAGCGTGCGAGCGTGAGGCGGTAATGTTAAAGCTGCGTTGGCCAAGGCAGGTAATGTCTTTTAGGATGAGTTCAATGCCTCCCTTTCAATACAGACACTTTATTAATAACAACCATCGCATCCATTTATCCATTAGTGGCTCTCGACTCGCCAGAATTTCCATCCCTCCCTTCTAGCGCCGCCGATATGTATTCCCACCAGCTTCTCAACTCCTTCACTACCATCGGCGCCAATAAAAAATTCAGGATCAATCTCCATGCCACCCTTCTTCGTATTCGTCAAGGCCATTCCTGGAAACGGCCGGCCAGAGAACGCCGATCCCATCGCCTCCCAGGGTTGTCTGAAACTTCTCAAGTCTTTGGACCTTGCCCAGTTCAACGGCTGTAGACTTGGCTTGCTTGGTATCGACCAACAACAGCGGTAGCTCCGGGAAGTTCCAGAGCGACTTGACCAAGGAGGGTTTCTGGTCGTCGGGCTTCTGGAAGACTACGCCTTTGCCCTGCGTGGAGCATGTATTATCCACGCCCGACGGGTTGCCGTGTATACACATCTCGAAGACGAAAGCCCACCGATTTACGCACTCCATTTGTAATCGTGCTTCTTCTGGTGGTTGATCAGGGTGTGGACCGGAGAAATTGCGTAATTGCAGTAACAACGCCTCCGAAATGCATACCGCGATACGCACTGCTGCCAACACCCGCGTCTATTGGTATTGTTGATCGCAGAGTGTACATGCAGCCCGGAAACTTGGGTGAGCCCAGTGAGAGAAGGAGGTATAAGAAGGCCAAAGCCGTTTTCTGATGCACCTTCCTCCCCGACTCCGACTTCTCAGGCGAAATGTCGGCAAGATGGGGTCGAAGTGCTGCAAGTAGGTCGTCGTCAAGGCTCGTCACCATGTCGTAGTAGAACTTCTTCTTAGAGGAGTGGTGAAATTCCTCCCATGGAAGCTCATGGATATTCCACGTGTGGCTTAGATCGATATCGGGGAGTCGTAGGATCAGTGTGCGCTTGGATTTGGGTAAAGTCGTCACAAGGAGATATGATCGCAAAGAGACAGAAGCGGCCATGGCAGTCTACGAAACAGGATTTATTAGCAGGGCCCAAAAGTGCCCAATGGAGATGCCCTTGCAGCTTTCTGTGCATCGTGCGCAGCCTTGCCTTCCCGTAGACCACAGCATGTTCGCCAAAGACAAGTGTCTTCCCCGGGGCCGAAACCATGAAGGCGGGCATCATCGGGCTTGATTGTTTGCGAGCCATATTTGTTCTTTGGGTGGCGTCGGGGATCAGGCAGTTTCGTAGACCATTGTCAGTGCAGTGTCCGTTAAGCCGCGGCGTTTCTATGCTCTCATGGATGTCATTCGTTTCGGGGGACATATCCGTAGTCTCGCTCTCGGGCACCGGTTAGGGCGCAAACCATTCGTTTTAAGGAGTAGCAGAGGTTGAGTGTGGACTGGCGTGCCAATGCCTTTGCTGGTCGAAGCAAACCTTTAGACGGCCAGATGACAATGGACCCGGCTGGCAGACGTAACGGGGCTTGCTGTAGCGAAACTCACAAAAGGAGAATGTCCTTGGGAAGACAGCGCTACCTTTGATATAATGCAGGTATTCGATCGAGGATGGGAGAGGCAGGTTGCAATGGCTGGTAACCCGGTCCTTTGTCTTACGAGTTAAGGGTGTCCTTTATGTAGTCGTGACTCGGGGGCGAGGAGGTGGGTGATGCGTTCAAAGCACCAGGTCTGGAACCTGCCGTTAAGCGATTGGAGAGAACTATTGCGAGACATGTGGTATAACGAGAAGCAAAACGAAGAGGAGACAAAACTAGCTCTAATCCACTGATCCTGTATTCCCGAAGCGAGGCCTATAAATGGTTTCTGAGACCATTTGGTACTATGCAGGTGTGCATTGCTAAGGATCTGCTTGGCCGAGACACATCTAGTTGTCCGAGCTTCATTGCACCCTGACCGTGGCAATGCCGTTGGTCTTTTGATTGTTGCCTGTTATTCGCCAGAAGAGTCCGGCAAGGACCATAGTGAATATCAATAACTAGCAGCCAACCCGAAGTTGTTGACCAAGTGGACTACGGATTGGCTTAGCTAGCGGGACCGCTCTGTTAGAGGCAAACACCGAAACCTCAAGGATATCAGCAGGCAAAATGCCAGCTCCAGGCTTGTCTGTTGATACGCCTACATACGATACAGGCCACTCTTTGTCTTTTCTTCTTCACTGTGGTCATCTGGAGCATAGCATCCCCATACCGCCTGTTTTCGAGACCCTCTTGGTGTCATGTCGCGCAGCCTTCTAAGCCAAGTTTGGGGAGTAGCCAGCGGCCCAGCAGCATACTGTACGACGTACAATGTACAATACATCTAACCAACGCTGCGATATAACTGTCGACCAACAGCAATGTAACAATGTAGCCATGCTCCTATGCTATCTATGTCCTCCAGAATCCCTAGTAGGCATCAGGCTGGCTAAATATTTTCACTACCCTAGTAGTGTCTTTCACCTTCTACTTTAATAGAATATTGGTAGTAACTAGTAACAATAGAGGTATTTATTAACTATTCAAAGTTATGGTGGGACTCCTATTATGGGCTATTTGCGTCATTTTTTTTTTTTTTTTGCCGACTTGGCTTTATCACGTCCTTGTTACCCTCTGAGCATTTAATTGTCATTGAAATCCTTCCTTGTGGTTGGCCAATGCCTTGTTATCTAGCTTGCGGTTCTGCAGGAAAGACTGCCATTTTAGGTTCAACGTGGATCATTGAGGATGCTCGGGCTAATAGAGGCCAAGATGGGCAGAGGCTTTGACCAATGGAGTCTTGAAAAATTGTAATGTCTCTAGGGTAGGGTGCATGCTTCCTCGAGCCAGGGCATATGCTCAATACGTCAACGCGACTTAGGTATCGGGAAACGAAGAATCCAGTCTGATAGCCCTAGTTGGTGCAACGTATGCTAGACGTTTCTAGCTCGTCTAAAATAATGCTAGAACTACATTACTCACCTTGACTTAGGCCACAGAAACGAGCTGTTTTAATAACCCTTTTCCTGTATGCGTTGTATAACTTGTTTGTTTGCGTGCTTATTTATTCTCTCTGCGTACCTAAACTCAGAATGAGCTCGTTTGACAAGTCACAAGCACAAACAAACTGAGTCTGAGGAGGCTGGAGCCAAGAAGTGCTCTCTCAGTAGATGCCCAATGAGGGAGTCCCAAGAAGGCCTCAGCCTGCCGTTTTGGGCCTGCAGTCTTCCGAGTAGAGACTCATGGGCCCACGGCATCTAAGTTTGCCGCCTAACTTATCCATGTCTACAATTCACTTTAAAACATATCTGTCATCCAATAATCATGTCGTTGCCCTTCTTGCCGACTCTTCTTTGCTTAGAAGAACAGCTGGAAGACAGGAACGCATGCGTGCCCGAAACCTAGAAACACGTGAACTATCTGCGTCAGCAAGAACAAAGCGTCTGTTGCGGAGAGTGAAAAAGAAGAGACATTGAAACAAGAGAAAAGAAATGTACGAAAAGGAAAAAACGAAAGGACCGACCGCGGTTCGAACGCGGGGCCTAGAGATAACTGCGCAGAACTGCAATCTCTCGCTCTACCACTGAGCTATCGATCCTACTCGATGATTGGTAGAATAGGGTAAATCGTGCACTAAGGATAACTGAAACATGTCGTACTCCACACTACTCATTTCCATCCCACCGTACCACAACTCATCATACCATTCGTAACAGTAAACATTTATGACTTGAATAAAGTCCGTTCCCTTCATGTTCTGCCAGTGTTTCTTTTTCTACTGCACCTTCTCCAGAGAATAGAAATTGACAATGTCCCTTACTGGTAAAGTTGAGTTATTAATGTAGTACGAAGCCAGCCGTGACAGACGATTGGCCCAATGAGTGACATGCTTACCTAGTCTGGTAACTGGCAGAACCAAGACGAAGCGTGTAGTAAACCCAAAAGAAAGGTTATAGGCTCAGTGCTGTTTATCCTATTTTTATTTCATTTTTTTGCAACCGACTTAAGAACATAACGGTAATGAAAGACCCATGGAACGTCTCGAGCTCAAATCCGCTTAGTCCATGCAGCTTTCCCGACTACTGCTATTATTGGAGACCAACGCACTGTATTTTCCAGCTTTCGCAACATTCTTCTCTCGAACTGTACGATCTGTTATTGTCCAGTGCTGTCTTTGGGCGGACCGCGATGGATACGAAATTGGCAATGATGCCCATGATGTTTAATTGCGCAAGGAATGTGGGACTATGTCAGGTAGAATGCCTGAGAAGGCCAACTTAATGGGTTTGGAAGTTGCCAGTTCATCAAGTATGCTAAATCAAGCATCCACCGCTCATTTCCAGTTAGCCAACTCGGTGCCGTGTCTTGTAAGGGACACCTCAAAGGACAATTGGGCCGTTTTGGTCTCGGATCGGAAAACATTGGCGTCCCGCCTCAACGTCGGGCGGCAGTAATCAGCCGTTATCTTGTACCACGTTGACAAAACATAGCCACTTACAGGCTGCTCCTATGTACATAGGCCGTGTGAACTCAATGGTAAGGAAGCAGAATCAAGAATACCTACCGAAAGGGCTGTCAAGATGCAGACGAGATTCCATGGCCTCTCTGGCCAGGGGACCAGCGCGGCAGCGATCTTTCCACGAAACCTTGATCAACGGGAAACAGCTATTCGGACCAACGCCTGATACCCCTCTGTCTTCTTTGCATCTTCTCGCCTATGATGCTTGAGAAGACAAAGAGTCGGCGTGGTCATAATCTCTCTGCAATCAAAGCCATGAGGGCAAAGAAATAGGTAGCATGCCAAAAGCGGGGATCTGCAGCCGGCTGGAGGGGTCCCTGCGCCGGGTAGCGGCGGCCTCCGGTAGATGGTCTAGCGTTGCAGCTGCATCCCTGCATTCCGCTGCCCATCCGGGCGCTGGGGCATGCTGCTGAGGCTCCTGGTGCGGGGGACCAACAGTCGTCAACCCACTGAATCTGGCCAGCCACGGGGGGTTCGGTCCCACTTGGTCTCTGTCTGGTGGGAATTCAACATCACTTCGTTCGGCTTCTGCTTCTTCTCTCCTCGTCACCACTTATGCCGTCACCTCCTGACTCCATTTCTTCCTATATCCGTTTGTTCTCCCTCGTGGTCTGATCTTTGAGGATCTTCAAAGAGTATAATCACATACTGTTTCCGCAAGTCGAATCTTGATATCCAGACCAGCCTCTCACGAGACCAGATCCAGCCCCCGCAACCCCCTCCCCCAACTCATTCTCATTCTCATTCTCACCGCCACCTTCATCGTAGCCCAGTATGACGACGAGATACAGAGTAGAATGTAAGAAAAACATGATCCTGCCGGAGAATTGAGACGGACCGGATGACTGACGACTGCTCAGACGCCCTCAAGACCCACAGGCGGGACCAGTTTATAGGTACGGCACAACCATCATCTTCCCATCCCGTCAGCCATCTTCTGTGACAAGTATATCGAGACTCGGCCTCAACATCATCGATTTCCCATTTCCCAATTCCCAATTTCTTTCACTTTTCTCTGGCAAAACTAGACATGATCAGTCACGAAGGGTAGCGAAGTCGTTGCCGGCGGCGCCTTTTCACAGCACTGTTGACCGGCACCCGTATTTCCCCCATCACGGCATGCATATGTCCCTCCCCATTCAGCAAACTCACTCACACACACAACCTCAGAGTGGATCAAGGGCCTCCTAGCGGTCCCCTTCGTCCTATACTCCCAGCCCACTGGAGTCTTCGACAAGAAAGCAACCAGCATCGCCCGCATGGCCGAGGAATCCCACCGCCGATATGCCGAGATCTTCCGCGACGTCGAGCACATGATCGACGACCACAGTAAGTCTCTCGACCACTCACCCCGGTCTGGTCCACCCCCATCGCCGCATGCCTCGTATACTCACAAAAGACACAGTCACCCGTCAGGAGGAGGCGAATGACCTGCCCTCCAAGCTCAAGATGCTCGTCCCCAGCGCGGGTCCCTTCTTTACCCGCCTGCCCCTCGAAGCCGCCTTCAACCACATGGACGAGCGCCGCCTCATCTCCTCGCGCCGCTACGTCTCCCCATCCTTCAACGATGTCCGCCTCATTCTCAACGCCGCCCAGATTATGGCCGTCACCGCCGCCCCCGAGTCCCCGCTGCAGCTCGCCACGTTCGACGGAGACGTCACCCTCTACGACGACGGCGAGAGCCTGGAACCCTCAAGCCCGTTGATCCCGCGCCTCCTGGGTATGTACTAATCCATCCCGCCCTCCCTTTTGCATCTCGATGAGAAGGCGGTCAAAATGTCACCCTCTAACAAGCTCTCCAGACCTCCTCCGCAAGGACGTCAAGATCGGCATCGTCACGGCGGCGGGCTACACGACGGCAGACCGCTACTACGACCGCCTCCACGGCCTCCTCGACGCCATCGCCGCGTCCAAGGACCTGACGCCGGTCCAGAAGGAGTCCATCGTGATCATGGGCGGCGAAGCCAACTACCTCTTCGAGTACGACCCATCGTCCCCGCACCTGCTGAGCCCGGTCCCGCGCGATCGCTGGCTCACGCCCGAGATGGCCGCCTGGTCCGACGACGACATCGACGCGCTCATCGACGTCGCCGAGGCCGCCCTGCTCGACTGCGTCAAAACGCTCAAGCTCCCCGCCACGCTGCTCCGCAAGGACCGCGCCGTCGGCATCATCCCCACCGACCCCTCGATCCGCATCCCCCGCGAGTCGCTCGAGGAGACGGTCCTCGTCGTCCAGAAGACCCTCGAGCTCTCGGCGCTGGGGTCCCCCGCCCAGACGGCCGGGTGCAGCGTCCCCGTCTCCGCCGGGGCCGGCCCGCCCACACCCTCGCCCACACCCACGCCCCCGGTGGCCCTCTCCGGTCATCGCCGCCGCGTCCCCTTCTGCGCCTTCAACGGCGGCCGCGACGTCTTCGTCGACATCGGCGACAAGTCGTGGGGCGTGACCGTCTGCCAGCGGTGGTTCGCCGCCAAGGCCGGCCGGCCGGAGCAGCCCATCGCCGGCGAGAGCACGCTACACATCGGCGACCAGTTCCTCAGCGCCGGGAGCAACGACTTCAAGGCCCGCTCGGTGGGCACCACGGCGTGGATCGCGAGCCCGGCGGAGACGACCGAGCTGCTGGACGACTTGCTCACGAGGGTGTAAGGGGGCGCAACTGGGGACCGGTCGACCGCATCTGCAGCCCGCTTGCAGCCAGATATGCAAGAGAGGAGAGGCGAGGGGATTCCCTCGAGGAGGAGGAGGAGGAGGAGGAAGAGGATGAGCGAGAGGAGAGGGTATACCCAAGGTGGAGCAGGCACCGATCAGGACCTCCAATCTCCAACCACCTCGTCATCTCCCAGGGTCTCGAGCTGTCCGTTGGGGGGGATGGGATCGTAACGGGAAGCGTAGCCAGAGGTCGCGACAACAATGCTGCCGGAAAAGGGCGCGGGCGGGAGCACGTCTCGGCGTTGGATTAGCCAGGGATGTATGAGTTGGCCCTCTGTTCCTGGTCTGCTTCTTTCTTGATTTTATTCACCGCCCAGAAAAAAAAAAGAAAAAAAAAAAGTCTTGCGTCTTTCTGTCTGTATTGGGAATCCTGTGGACGGAGAAGGACGGGCGAGATTGCATTTGCATGGCGCATCGGTTTTAACGGACGGGTTCAATCGATACGAAACTTCTCTTCACAAAGACAGGGGGAAATTAATCCATCAGACCGCGTATTCTTATAAGCAAATTCATTTAACGCCATGTCAATCAAAGTCAGCTATTCGGCAAGTTTCACTCGGAATGCAAGTAGTCAATGTGTAATTCCTTGGCAAAGTCGGCCATAAAAGACCGCGTTTAGCAATAATTATTTGCCTCGACTATTTTTCTATCCATTGCTTCTTGGCAACATCCTCCCAGGCACCACCACGTAGCGATGGCCCGTAGTTTCTACCTCACCAGTTTGAGGATACTGTGGCCATGCGGGAGATTGACTCCCGCATGCCTCATCATCATTGACGCTTCCTACGCCCACCCATCTTTCCATTTTGTGCCCTCCATCGGGGCCCAGGCAAGTGCGCTTCCGTCGACACCGTATCCATTAAAGACAAACAAACCAATTCGTGAGAGGGAATTCCAATCCTCCGGGGGGTATTGTGCGTTTTTTTGTGTAAACACCGTGAAATCCATCCATGAAAAAGAAAACCGAGTGATGCTGCTCCGCAGAGCCCTGGGGGGTTCTGCCCCGTCATCCTCTCTATGTCGTCGAATCGAAAAAGCAAACCGCCCACCGCGTGGGAATATACATAGGAAAGTGAAGGGGCTGGTCTGTTTAGGCCAATGCCAAGTGAATGTTGAGTGTCTGTAAGTTTGTACAAAGGACAGGGATTATATGTGCAGAACGGGGGCGAAAGTATGAGAACGTCAATGCGAGTGTGTTGTCTCCAGTGTCGAGACCTGACTCCATTGAAAAGAGGTCGTACGAGTGTTTTGCCGCTTTAGAACATGGAGCCTAAGGGGGCACCAAAGTTGATGGTCTTCTTGAGCTTCAAGGGTACGTCGATCTCTTCGGCCTTGGTTTGAGACTCTGACAAATCATCTCTGTCGGTGGCAGAGCCTCTGTCGCTGGCCCCGTCTGAGTCCCGGTTCGGCGCCACGAGGTTCTCCTTGTCCTCGGTCAGGCCTGGAAATTCATGTTCGCTCGGGGTCTTCATGCAGGTGGGAACAGCGTCTGCGCCACTGCTGACATCTTCGAGCTTTTCGGACAAGCGTTTGAAGAAGATTTCGTCATGTGCAGGGATGTTGCGAACCATCAGAGGACCCTTGAGCGCGACGTCGTCGGTCGCCTCCAATGTGGGTTGGGGCTCGTCGGGGCCGCCGTAAGCGTCATCCTGGAGATCGGACGACCCCAATCTTGCCCTGGCATCACACAAGGTCGCCGGGTTTGAGCTCATGTCTGTCGGTGCCAGTGTCGGCGTGGACCCTCCCGTGCCCTCAGTAGCCGTCGCAACCTCTGTGCCGGGGGCGGTTCCTAATACGGAGAGAGAATGGCTAGGAGTGTGGCCGGCGTGCATAACAAGCCTGTCGGGCTCAGGAGCTGCGAGGACCTCGAGGGTGTGTTCCTGGGTCGGGCTGCGCCTAGACTTTGTAGAGTCACCAGGCGGGGATGCGTTTCTTGACGAGCATTTGGAGTTTTCCGGGGTCGGGCCAGAGTCGGTAAATGTGCTCTTCTGAATGGCAGGCGCCTTGAGGGGGACGCCTTCAAGCTGAGGGTTGATGATCTGAATGTCGACGATGGGGACGGGCTCCTCGTCCTTGGGAGAGCCAAGGAAATCAACGGGATCGGCAGTAGTAGGCTGCATGTTGGGGTTGAGGGGGAAGAAGGACGAAGTCTCTGGCTGCCTGGACGGAGAAATGCGGGAGCTGCCAGGACTGATAAACTGAGATCGAATCTGGCTTGGCGAGACAGAGGCTGAGGCGGAGCCATTGGTTGACTTGTGCTCTGTCGTCCTGTTTGAGAGGCCGAATCGCGCGTCATTGAGTTGCGAGGAGAATCCTGGAAAGGAAAGTTGGGTGGAGCCGTCAGCCCCACCACCTCGCGTTCCTGTTCCTGGAATTGCAACGGTGACGCCGGCGACTTTGCCTGCCTTCTCCAGCTCGAACCGCTGCAGTGCGCCTTGAAGGCGAACCTTGTCGGCGTCGATCACTGCAACTTGGTCTTTGAGGCGGCTGATGTGCTCCAACAAGGCCGCCTTCTCAGCCTCCCACGCAAGACGCTCGTCTTCCATAATCATTCGCTCCTCCCTATAGACTTCCTCGACGCGCTCACGGTTTGCTTCCATGTACTTGCGCTCGGCTTCCCACGCCTCCCGTATTCGTGCATTTTGCTGGGCCAGCCGTCGAATAATCTGCGCGGACGCCGGAGCCGAGGCTGCGTCAGCGGAGACTGACCGCGGATGAGGCATACCGTTTGGCGAAACTCTGACAGTGGGCGGGAAAGCTGATGCGTTGTAACTGGCAATGTTTTCGGGATGTGATGGCGAAACGACCCTCGACATCTGATCGTACGAGACGACGCCGTTGAGACTGCTTGAGCCGTTGGCACCGTTGGGACGAAAGTGAGGTTGAAGGGAGCTTTGTGATGGCGGCGGGTAGCGCACAGCGCCAGAGGACTGAGGGGAGTACAAAGAATGCCCCGGGACGTTGGACGTCGACTTGTTGTCGAAGTAGCAGGGCGAATTGGCCATTCGCGATAATGACAGCGGCGAGATGACGGCGGACGGGGGCATATTTGGGTCGTGGTCGGTGAATGCCGAGGGCAGGAAAGAATCGGAGGTGAGCATGGTTAAGACTCCTTGGGAAGAAGAGAGCAGTCGGGAATTGAGACCTGGCCCAGGGAAGGGGCATCGAAGTCGGCGGTGGAATGGATGTCTTGAGAGGGGGTTGCCGGCAGGGAGCGATGGGCAGTGAGTGTGGTGTAGTGTAGCGGGAAGCGAGGAGATGACGCAAAGCTGTTGGACGGTCGGTTAGCGCTGTGTCGCTTTTGGGGGGCGGTCGCTTCTTTGTGCCTGGCAATGGCTCCTGGGCCGCAGGTTATTCTCGGAGGAACTGGATTCCACAACAAGGCATGCCCACGGAAGCGAGACCGGATTGGATGTTTACCTGGCGAACGGTTTGTGGGAATTAGGCCGTGGAGAGAATATCGAGTGTAAGGTATTGCGCGTTGTTGGTGGTGGAGGGTCGTCCGTTCCTTGAGTGAATCAGGGACGAAAGAGGTGCGTCTCCACTGGTAGTTGCTCGCCCGGCTGAAGTTTGGATGTAAAGTACAGTCGGTGGCTTCGAGATTATGTCGAGACAGAGAGTCTGGCGGCGAGTCGAAATCGTGATCCAGATCACGGCATGACCAACCAGATGCAGAGAAGATATTGTGTAAAATGTCGTGAGGGAGAAGAAGCAGAGCGACGAGAGGGGGGGGGTTGATGTGAAATGGAATTGTTTTGAGTGAGCGTTGTTGCTTCGCGTGTGTACATGCGGCGGGTGAGGGAGAGGAGAGAGAGAGAGAGAGAGAGAGAGGGATGACCGGGGTAGGTAGGTACCTCACTTGACGGTCAGCCGGACAGAGGTGAATTTCAATGGTTGTCTAGCGGGTGGGATGAGGTATGGGTGTACCAGCCAGTGACAGGTTCCAAGAACGGGTTTCGTGGGTGGATGATGTGCCGGCTAGGTGGAGTGTGGGTGAGAGGGAATCTTGGGGAGCCAGGCCAGGTACGCGGCGGAGTACGTACACTTTGTAGCTGCTGGCTCAGAGATGTGCACCAAGCCCGCCTTTGGTACTTCGTGCCTTACAGTACTACCAGTACTTTGTACGGGTATGTAGGTACCGTCCCGCACCGCCAACGTTGTGCCTTTGGAGGTTAGGCCGGGCTGTCTTTGACCCTGAGCTGAGGTGGATGTGGGCTTTTGTTGTTTCTGGATGGGGGTTATTGACCGGGGGAGGGACTGTTGCCGGGATAGTGCCGAGCACAGTATTACACGTGTAGTGTAGTGTAGTGTAGTGTACGTGTACAGGTACGCCTGTTTTCTCCCCTGTCTGAGGTGCTTCTTCCCCAGTGTCACTGTCGGGTCACTTTCGTAACATGCGATCAGCCGGAGGAAGGGAGGGCAGCAAGTAGATCCAGTAGCTGGTCTTGGTAAAGATGGAACAGACTTGGTCTCCGGGTCTGGAGTCCTGTCCAATCCTGTCCGTGCCGTTTGGTCTGGGGGCGGGATGTGCGAGCCGTCGCCAGACGGAACTATTTGCCTGGTAGCCGAAGACCGCCTGTTGTTGCGGCCTGCGCCTATCTTTGTTTTTTTCTTTTTTTTTTTTTTTCTCTTTCTTTCAGCTGGACCCTGAAGCTTAGTAGCCCCGATGTGGGATGGAAGACGCGGCTGGATTCGCTCGACGAGGACAATACACGAGCAATATGATAGCTCAGAATGCGAGAGGGCGAGTGACCGACCACCTGACAGGGATGCGCGCCAACTCAGTGGTGGTGGGCAGGGCAGGGCAGGGCAGAACAGCGATGATAATTGGTGGCAATGTCTGCTCTTGGCCCGTCGTCGTCGGTAGTGTACGAAGTAGCGAGGGGAGGAGAGACAGACGGTCCCTGGGCTGGCTCCGATGGTCTGTCTACTATTCGTAGCCAGGGAAAAGCAAAGCTAAGACAGAAGTATCGGAGATATCGGTTCGGTGAAGCGGCCGGGGCTTGTCTAGTGAGAAAGGAGCGGATAAAGAGTTAGGGTAGACGGTGTGTTTGGACACGATGGTGGAAATGAAAGACAAGAGGGGGGAAGAGGAAAAGAGAGAAACTGAAAGAACGAGTCCAGTCATTAGGCCGGACCGGGTCACGAGAAGCAAAGTCAGACAGCGACAGGACCGGTGGGCGAGAGAGAGCCGCAATCACATGGGCCAGAGGGAAAAGGAAAAGCAAGAGAGTGAGTACAGTGTTGCTGTGGCAGTTGCTTTGTAAACCACGTAAAGTGTTTACCTAGGGAATCAGCAGTGACTGGGAACAGGGGGGTTCTGGCTCGACCTGCCAGGCCAAAGATGGGATATCCCGAGCCAAAAACACATATCCGCCTCGCCGTCCACGGCCGTCTCGGTGTTTGTTTTTTTGCTCTAGATAGTATTGACCACTTATGAGTTGTTACCTACTTGTCATGATTCTCTTAATGCTAATTACCTAAGGTACCAATCCTTAGGTAGTGTACTTGCTGTATGCACCTCTTGCTACCTACCTAGGTACCTGCACTACACGTGTACAGTGCTGGGGTACGTACACGTACACGTACACATACAGTTACAGAGTAGGGGTGCCCTCCCTCTTTGCCCAGGCCAATCTCAGGGTCCTTTACACCCAAGCCAGATGTCCGCTGCTTTGCGGTAATTAACCTCACAGTTCCAGAAAACTCTCCTCCCTTAACACTGGCTGGCGGCTGGAAGGGGCGACTGAAGTGGGTGCCTCAGGATACTCCCCCTCCCCCGAACGCGCAAGGCATGCCTGCCTGCCTGTCCGTCAAACAAACCCAAGCCCGTTTCATCTACCTGACCGCAGCCGTCGCTCAGTCGCTCAAACGGTACACCAGCTTGCTTGCTCGCTGGCTCGCCCGTCCTCGCAAAGCAAAGTCACCCGCCGCCGCCGCCGCCGCCTGCTAACCCAAATGCCGCTGCTCGGCCTGCCTGCCTTCCTACCCGCCCCAGCCGTGGAGCGAGCAATGAAGGCTCGCTCTCGCTTTCAGCCGAAGCAAGCGAGGGATTGCGACGTTGCGCTGGTTCTCTGCTAAGACGATAACTCGCTAGATAGCCACGACCACTGACTATGTGTGTGTGTGTGTATGTGCGTGATATCGGTACACGGCCTACGGCGGGTACAGGACTGTCGTTGACCATCTCCCAGGAGGGCCCCTTCAGGTACCCGAACACCGGGCCACCGCGGCTACGGACAGCTACCGCCCGTCCACGTCGTCCCAAAACAGCACAGGATCATGCAGGGAGGCCTTCCCAACCGCGTTGCACTAGATTGATCTGTTGTTGTTTGACTCCCAATCGGAAGGAACGGCTTCTGGCCGCGAGGTCTGTCTGCCTCACGGTTCGACTGACTCTCGTCTCCCTCATGTCCATGTCCACATTGTGCCGGCGGCCATTGCTTCAGATAGGTACCGACATGCAGAGCACCAAACAACAAGAATATAATGGAAGCGGCCGCATCGAGGTCCGCCCCCCCGTTCGAGAATTCCCCATGTGCCCAAACCTTCGCCCTTCCTCTCCTCCCGTCCCTTCTGACACGTGAAGAAAGGGACCGCCTTGGATACGTACCTCTGTTCTGCTATGTATCCGTATCTGCTTTGCTTTGTGTCCCCCCCCTTGGCAATGCCCGTGCTAGCTAGGTAATGCGGTCTATATGCAAGTACGTATCTGTGATGCTCTACATACCTCAGTAGCCATTATTGAAATGGGTTGAAACGCCTCGACGGAAGTTACAGTGACTCGTTCAGGCTACTTGGTAATTAACAATTGGTACCGACGTCGCCCGAGTTTGGACGTCCGGGCATGGCCCTGCTGGGCCACCCTCCCGGAGCCAGCTGGAGGATCTAGGACGAGGCAGACCACATAGGGAGGGGGTGAGGTCGGAACAAATGGAATGACCGCCCTGTCTGACCGAGTGCCACTGCCTGGGACGCGAAGCCCGTTCCTGGTGTCCCTGGTGTTCCTGTTCCTGTCGTTCCATGCTACGTTAGTCCGGGGGCGATGAGGTGCCGACCCGTCTTTTAGGAACTTGGGATTGCATTTGGGTCGCTTCCCCATTAGATCGACCTTATTTGGACTATTGGTTGAAGGGGGAGAGCGGCAAAGGGTCGCACCTGCTCGGAGAGAAGAGAGTGTGGCCTGCAACCTTCCTTTCTGACCTCAGGATCTGCTCCTGCCTGCCCCTTCCCACTTACATCATGCCCAACCTGTGTGCCACCGAGGATTTTTCCCCATTCTTCCCCATTCCTCACCGCGGTTGCGCAATGCACAGTCTAGTCGCCGACTCTTTCCCCCAAACCATACCGGTACCACCGTACTCGACCCAGCCAGCCCGTCCGTGATTGTACATCATCATCACCGCGGGTCAGCTACAGATTACCAGCTACTGCACGACTAATCCCAACGTGGATTTCCGGCTAGGTAATTATCAGGGATCCAAAAAAGTCCACTAACCCTACTTAGCCCGGGCTATCTGCTCCCTCCTCTCTTTCTGCCCGGGCCTGGCCACTGCTGCTGCTCGCCCTGTCTGGCCGCAACAAAGGGACGGGAGCCAACGCACGCAGCGCTGGGCGACACATCGGTTTCACTCCAAGGCCCGAGGGATACGCAGGCTTACGGGGCCTCCTTTCTTTTCCCCATCCAAGGACCAGAGGCAAACATGCCGGATTCCAGACCATGGCTTCCCGCGCGGCCTGAGGATGCCAGTGCACAGCAGCTAGCCAGCCCTACCGAGGGCGGTGCAGGCGAGAAAGTTGCAGCTCGAGCCAAGGAAGTCCGGCAATGCTGAGTTGGCACTGCAGTTGCAAGAAGCACGCAGAGAGAGAGAAAGAGAGATACACCGACAAGAATGACAGCAACCTGCAGCAATGCAGCCCCCAGCAAGGGGATATGGGCAATTCCTCAGCCTGCAGATCCGATCCGGTCGGTTCTCCCATGCTCAAGAGCTAGCTCCCACACAGGTCGCGATACGTACACACTGCAGCCAGCCATGGGGCATCATGGGAAACCGAGTTTTGGATCTCCGGCCCTATTGTGGCGTGCGCGCATGGAACCGTGACGCTGCACTCGAAACCTGTGACGACACGAGCGGAAGCGGGAACGGAACGGGACTGGCGCCATGGGCCGTCCGTCTTTCAACTTTCTGCATCGTCGTTTTCTTTGGTGAAGGGCGGGTCCTCCCCCCTCAACAGGAACGGTGCCGACGACCACGACGGGCTCGTTCCCAAACCCCTCCCGGGGGACAGGGAACCCACAGCCCAGTCTCCCTAGTGTACCGCTACCGCCGTCGCGGACGACGGCTGCAGCCCCCAAAGCCGGTGACACCCAACCGCCACGTCGCCGGCGAAGGGTCCCTCGTGCCTGAACCGTCCCATACCCAACCGCTCCCACCGCCCGTCAGCGCCGCCGGAATGGGCCAGTCGGTGTAAGACAGCCGAGAGGGGCTTAGTTCCTGAGAGGATGAGGGGCGGTGTAGTACCTTTCAAAAGTCGAAACCGGTCTCTCGGTTGGGTTCCAGGACCAACAACGGGCCAATCGATGTCAATTTCGGAACATTCATCTTCGCTCAAGCGATCGGGCCTTCTCCGAATGGCATGACCCACTGCCTTCATCATGCCCACAGGTACCAGCAGTGCCATCTTGTCTGCTATCGTGACTGGCTGGTCTGACGACTATCCCCCTCATAGAGAACCTACCATGGCCACGCTCACCAGCCACCTCTGGATGCATGAGTCGGGAGTCAAAGTGGCGAAGGCAACAACTCACGGTTGTGGCAGACGGCGACAACTTCGAAGAACCAATCCAATGTGTGGCTCTCGCCGGCATCTGACTCGCTACGGTGTCCCGTCGCACCCCACTTTTCGGTCACCGACGCCTCCGGGCGCCAATCCCGAACCGTTCCCTATCTGTATCCGAAGCGTCCAGAACCACCCTCGGTAAGTTTTCATCACGGCAGGGTCTGGTCGGCCCTATTCCGGCCGCCGCACACGGTCCAGGTTTCATTTGCGCCCATACTGCCTAGGCAGTGTGGGAAAAATCCTTTGTTTTTGCTTCTTGAATGAGGAAGGTAGCGGGGTCTCTCAAAGTTTTCTTCCAGAGCCCACCTAGAACAAGTTTCTGCAGCGCCGTCACTTCTCATCACGACAGCTGGCCGCCCGCGCCCGCGCCCGCGCACCCAGTCCCACCCCCTATGAAACTGGAGCGGAAACCTTGGGTATTATTCAGCGGAAACTCTCCGGCCCTGGGGGTGCTGGCCAGAGGTTCTTTCTTGATGCTTTTGGCGCGAGCGGAATGGATTACACGACGAGATCCAATTCGCCAGCCACCCTAAAAGTGTACTCTCTTTTTCCTCTTCCTTCTCCCATTTCTTGTCCTGGCTTTTGGTGACTGGGGCTTCAATGCACGGAGTGCGAATGTGCGGCTGTTACAGACTTTGCACGCCTACCTGCAGAATGTCCATACCTCCTCGCGAAATCCATGACCGTCGACATGCAGCGCTAAAGCACGACGGCCCAGCAAGTCCGCTTGCCCGCCCATGCACGAAATGGCCAGTCCCCTCAGAGCACGCTCATGGTCGAAGCGAATGGAAGAGCAAGAGGCGAGAAAACCAACCGGTGTGCTCCCTTCACCGACTCCATGTCTCTCTACACGTGTATGAGGCTGCCCAACCCCCCCGGACCTGCATACCAGACGTGCATCAAGACCCCACCGCTTTTCCGCCAGCTCACACAGCTCCCGCATCTGCCACCAACCTCTGTACTAGTGGCCTGTGGTAGCTACTCTCTTTTCCGTCTCTTTTTCCCCCCTCGTGAGTTTGGGCAGTAATGTTGCCTGGGTGACGGCATGGGGGGGTGGTCTTGCAGTTGGGAGGCAGGCGGTCGAGAATGTGATTGCTGCTTTGAGAGGGTTGTGAGTCATACGAGGAAGCGCGCCCTGAGTGCGAGAGAGAAAGTCGGTGATGCAGGCCTTCTGGGCTTCAATGTTCGGCCGAGATCAAAGTGTGAGGGCACCTAGTCCTTCACACGCGCCCTGCATGTGTCCTCTTTGCGTGCCTCAATGCAATACTGCCAATGCCCGTTGTCAGAGACTGGACCGCCGTGGTTCATCAGGTCTGCGGCTCTGTTAATGGCATTTTGTTATTAGCTACTAGCTCGCAGCACTCAATGACAGCAGCACCAGCGTTGGATCCTATATCATAGGTATCATCGCAAAGATCACCTACAGGGTTTTCCTAAACAGTCTGTTGAAGTTGTCACCTCGCGCGAGCAGCAACTTCCATAGCTCTAGAGGGCAGAACGGCTCCTCTGCCTTGGTGCGTGGTATAGGAAGCCAAAGGTCTGTTTAATGGCCATTATTGTGCAACGGCCTAGAACTCGGAGCCTTTTTTTTTTTTTCTTTTCTACTTCCGCCTCCCCTGACTAAAGATGAACAAGACTTAGTAAACAGGTAACAATTGTTGTATCCGAACTGGCAGGAGGAGGCAGGATAGCAGGGACTATTTGGACGAGCTTATCAATTTATACTCAGATTAAGGACTAAAGTGCAGCTGTCAACCTACCCCAAACCCCTTCATGACAAAGATGTTGATCATCAATAGATTTGGTACGAAAACAAGTTCAGAATCTTGTTCATCCACTGGTTAGGATAGGGAGCTAATCCACTAAACCCGAATATCAAGGTTGTTATGGCAGAGGACAGCCTCAAGGAATTATGCCCAGGCCTCCTCCCTCAAAGAGAAGTCGAGCGCGTCAGGTAAGCCCATCTAACAAAACATTCAAGTGGACTTGGGGGTCGTTACGAACAAGTTAGGAGCATCTTCAAAGGGAAAGACAGAGTAGAACAAGGCAACGTGGGATGGACAGCATTGAAGCATTGAAGCAATAAGGTAAAAGGTATCTTGCTTTTTAGAAACCACAAGCCTTTTTATCAGGAGTTCCTGATACCTAAAACTGCACCATCGCTGCACCGCTCACCGTGAGGATGCGACTTTCTGCTTGTCTTGGCCCCTTTTCTCGTCACTACATGATTTTGACGCTGCAGCCCCCGAATCTCACAAAGCCCCTGATGGAACCGATGAAACCGCCGCGGAGTTATATTCCACGGGTTGCATTTGTTTCCCTGTATACAGTTGAATGGATATAATAAACGCCGGACAGGAAGGTAGCCGACCCCTTCTCCAAGCATCAATGCGCACTTTTCAACAACGAAGCGTAACTTTTATAACCCGTCCGTTGACCATAAAATTACTTCTTGGTTGACAGTACTTGGCAGCAGCTACTGCTTCTGATATCTTTCTTAGTAGTTGCATGAACTGCGGTGGAGGCTTTTGGCAGCACCCATACTGCTTGAGTCTGAATGGCCGCTTCCCCGATTAACTGAGAAGAACAAGTTTTGCTACATTGAATTTAACACGTGAAGAAATCGTCTAGCCCCTGAATTCGCTCCAGAGAAGATTCACGCAAGGCTTTAGACAACAGTTGTAGGGCCGCTCCCCCAGAGTTCCCTACTCAAGTGGACGGACGGAGAGAAGGAAGGGCTACCAAGGGACACTATGGAGTTTCACCCTGTCGGGAAGACGCTCGCGTTGTATGGGATATGAGCCGAGATTTTCGGGTTTCAGTAGCTCCCACGAGCGAATGGGACCGCACAGTTAGAGAACACGCGCCACATGAGTTGACGACAGAAGTCCGCGAGGTTTTATCTGCCGACGGAAGAAGAATGATGCCTCCATACAAAACTGCGACTTAATTTTTATTTCTAATTTTTTTGGCAACGCCTTTACGCTGCCGATCGCAAAATCAAGAACAGCCTCAGAACTCCTCACAGCCAACGATTTGGATACACACACAAGTTTTAAGTATGGGGCTATCTTGGTTGGGTGAAATAGAAGTAACAATTTGATTTATCTTTGCCTGGAGGGGGGAACCTAGATACAGGATACGTGAATTCACCTGCTTCAGGGCGTGACTGTGATATATTATGATGGCCGTGAACTGTTCAGGGTTGATAGCAATGCCTGAAGTTCCAACAATCAGAAATTCTTTTTCTCTGGCGGTGATACATAGTTATCTTATACACAAAGTTTCTATCTACGATATGGTGCCGCTGATCTATTTAGTCTATTCACCTAATCGGTTGATTGGTCCGTCTGGTCCCGTGGGTTGTAAACCACCCTTTCTGTCGCCCCTGTGAGCTGTGCTGTGATCTTGATCGTAGGCTGAACGGCAGTGCAGAAGCTGGTGTCTGCTTGCCTCGTATTAAAGTACTTCTGAAGGCCTTAAGTTTGCTTTCTGATGGCGAGTGTACAGAGACCTGAGCCATGTTGAACCTTCCGCTGAACCGGAGACCGAGCTGCTATTGTAAGATAGTGTATGAGTCCAGGCCATGAAGTTCAACCAAACACGTTGATCAGTCTTAGAGCTGATCTGCTCTAGTACATTAGGCGAAAGCTTTAAAGATGGTCTATTCGTCTAAGCTAAGCATTCTCCACAACATATTTTACTTTGGTATAACCATAAATACCGCTGTTAGCCCTCGGTGTATCCGTATTTTGTCATGACAGTGTACGTAAATAAAAGCGTAAGCAGGGGCTTATAGCTTTGTTATGTTTGTACAACTTCTATTGTTCGCATATTCGGCTAATTATTACTCAGCCAATCTCGCAAGACAACGAAGAATGACAAGAGAAAGGGTTAGTGAGGTCCTATTGCATCTTTCTCGTCTTCTGATAATATAAATAATCTGTTGAGTAGTGTGTTCTTAGATACGTCAGATGACGAACGGACTGGTGCTACGATAAGAGAGAAGAAAAACGTCTAGCTACGTGTACTGGTCGGTCAGGAAGGAACGTGACTACTGATGAGGTTGCTTTATGTGAAGCCACTGGCTATTAAATTCACTGCTCTCGGAGTTTGATCGTATTCTTCGACATGTAATGGTTTCTAATTGATTAACTCGGCTCGACCCTGAACTCGACACCGCTATTCCTACCCATCCTCCGTGCTTTAGAGCCCTCTCACTACAATCGCAGTCATTCCAGTCACAATCAGAATGTCTCCTACGCCCGCCCAAACGCTACGTTCTGAAGAACATATCTGCTGCGACCCGTCCAAATTCATCAAAGGAGCAACACTACCGAGATCAAAAGATCTAGAACACCTAAATACTTGTACTCATGACCAGGAGCTGAGCTCTTCGTGCGGGCAGTCCCCGGATCGTTGCGTGACATTACGTTGTGCCTAGGAACAGGCGACGGATGTTGAACGTCCGATATATGGAGTAGAAAGGTCGAAATGCAAGTATAGAACCTAGACAGTGCCCTTGGGCTGTTTACGGGAGAAACGATTCCCTCCATGAGTAACAAGACTGCCATATTGTAGAATTTGGTGAATCGTGGAGAATCCGCTGCAAGGGTCTCTCAGAGTCTCAAAACGTGCCAAGATCGAACCGGAAGTCAGCATCATGTGGTACCGACACCCCGGCAACCAACTCAGCCGGAAGGGTACAGGTAGAATGCCAGAGCAATTTGGTCGGCGGCCAGTGGGTTAAGCCTATTTCGGAATATATTATGTCAGCGCCAGCAAAAACAATATTCCGACTTAACTGACCAATGACAAGGCCAGGATTCAGAAAGTTACATAAAGTTAAAAACTCCTCAGATTTAAGCGATTTAAAGTCAAGGCAAGAATTACTTGGTACACACACCCGCAAGACAAGACCGTCCCGCGTAATGTTGAGTCATTGAGTGGAACAGAGCAGAAAATATCATGGCTGATCGCCGCTCCGGAGATCGAGCAACGCTTTCGAGGCCGAACGCTTCGAGCATCAATAACGACAAATGGACAAATTGATTGGGTAATACTGCAGTTGCTGATAAATAATGACAATGTGCGAGGAATTTGGGGTATGCATGCATAGCCACAATTATGGTGCATGGCTGAGGGGGGAGGGGCCGACCCCCTTTCTTCCCGTCCACAATGTCCACTAATAGTGCCACCGTTTCAATCTTGGCGCCATTCAAGGTGTTAAAATCACTCTGCAGTTGCTGAGATATGATATCTCCAACGGCTTGCTGTCATTAATGGCTACTTGCGCCTCTGTTCAGGGATGGCTGCAGTCTCCAGTACCGCGGAAGGCGGCAGGGCGCCCGATGGCGCCTTGTCTGGACCGCGCGATTGTCTCTTTCCCCCTAACAATCACCATTAATTCGTCTTCGGGCCAAGGCTCTCTTCCTATACGTCTCCCCTTGTTCTCTCCGGCTCTATATGGTATGCATGGGATCACAAGGATTCTTTGATTGCTCTGTGATACCACCTACCTGCCCCATCCATACGCTCGCGTGTGCAAATGAGGACGGTTAAAAGGCTGATCATGCCGCCAGCAGCAACTGGAGGCCCAGCCGTACCTACGGTGCCGGGGAGTCCCAGTTAATGTTATCTCACCGCGAAGGATTACGGCATATTGAACCATGGTAAGATGGTGTCTTTCCTTGTTTGCCGTCTTGGCAACTTCCTTAACCGACTGAGAGCTTCTCCACAATGTCCTCTCACGGTGCGTATCCATGCTCTGGGCATGCAGTATCAAGGAGTTGTATGAGGACAGATGGGCTAGATGTAACGGAAGATACTCCAAAAGGGAATGCCCGAGCAACGCCAAGTATTTTGCACTCAAGAGGAAATTGAGAAACTTGGGATACTCGTTTATAAGTAGTGCTGCCCAATACTTGGGCTACCACTAGACTTCTCGAGGTGTCTGCGAGCAACCCATTCCTTTCACTCCTTTGTGCTCTACACTCTACGCAACTACGATCGTTATTCACCATGTCATTCTTTCGCCAGTCCAGGTCCCAGCCTCGGTGGCAAGGGGTCGCAACTGCAGCCGTCCTCATGGCGAGCTGCGTCACCAACGCCTACGTCATTCCGCGCGAGATCAAGCCATCTCAGCTGCTGGAAAGTTATGACTATGTCGTTGTGGGAGGTGGAACGGCAGGACTGACTGTGGCAGACCGCCTGACCGAGGACCCGGAAACGACTGTCTTAGTCCTCGAGGCCGCTGGCTGGGGCAACATGGCTGACAATCTTTTGGTTCGCACCTCCGAGAGAAATACATCTATAATTGACATGCTGTGGCCTGGTATCCAGTCTGTGCCACAGCCCAACTTGAACGGAAGGATTGGCAACGTCTTGATTGGTCACCAAGTTGGAGGCGGCTCGTCCATGAACGCCATGGTGAACATGCGAGGCTCTGCAGAGGACTACGATCGCTGGGCTGCCCTGTTCGGAGACGAAGCTCAGCAAGGCACTGCTGACTGGAGCTGGGATGGCGTCTTGCCGTTCTTCAAGAAGGTGACAAGAGTGCCCTGGACTGGTTGCTAAGATACCGAGCTAACTATCACATGAAAGGGCCTCCACTTTACTGCGCCGCCTCCGGAGCTGACCGACAACTTCGATGGCGTCAAGTTTGATGCCTCCTACTGGGGAGATTCTTCTGAGATCTATGCCGGTTGGCCTCGGTTCTATTACCCAGGTGTGAGCCCACTCTTTGAGGCGTTCAAGGAGATCGACGGCGTCGAGTTCCCGTCCGACAGTGGTGCTGGGAAGGCAGGTGTTTTCTGGTTCCCCACGCTCATGGATCCCCGGACTGTCACGCGCTCCTATGCCGGCACTGGTCACTATCTCAACGTCAACGCTACCCGCCCTAACTACCACCTTTTGATCAACACCAAGGTCCGCAGGCTTCTAGTGGACGATGAGCTCTCTGCTACAGGAGTCGAGTTCCCGTTGGGAGACAACACCCTGCTCACCGTCAATGCAAAGAAGGAGGTTATTCTTTCTGCCGGCACTGTCCACACTCCTCACCTCTTGCAGCTGAGCGGTATCGGCCCCAAGAAGATTCTTGAGGCTGGAGGTATTGACGTGCGCATCGACCTACCCGGTGTTGGCCAGAACTTCCACGACCACCCCAGTCTGTCTGGGGTGAACATCACTCGTAAGTGAGAAGAGCACCTCATAGCTTGAGGAGAAGGAGCTTTGATGAATTTGACATGCCTGACCCATTGTATAGTCTCAAAACTCACGTCGATCCACCCGAACCCGCGGGATCTGGTGGAAGGAAACGACTTTAAAAACTGGGCCGACGAGGTGTGGGCAGCTAACAAGACCGGTCCGTATTGCCCATTTCTATCTGCGTGTGTTCTACTGAGGCTGACGTTGAACAACTCGCACCACATAGGCCCATACTCCATCTCACTCACCAACCTGGCTGGCTGGCTCCCCTTCACCGTCGTGTCGGACAAGGCCGACGAGCTTGCCACGAAGCTGGAGCAACAAGACTTTGCCAGCCTGTTGCCGGCCGACGCCGACGCCACTGTGGTCGCCGGCTTCGAGGCGCAGATGAAGATGCTAGCCGCCCAGATGCGCTCCAAGGACACGGTCTTCACCCGTTTCCAGCTCATCGCCGACCATGGCGCGCAGGGTCCTGTAGGGATGCAATCCTTCAGCCGCGGCACCATCAACATCAACACGACCGACCCGCTGAATACGGAGCCCGTGATCGACTACCGCTCCCTGACCAACCCCCTGGAGGCTGATTTCTTCGTTGAGTCGATCAGGTTCCTCAGGCGCTACAATTTTGAGACCTCCCTGGCCTCTGAGTTTGCTCCGGTCGAGTACGTCCCCGGCCCTGACGTCGTCTCGGACGAGGACCTCAAGGCCTACATCGCCAGCGCTATGTCGCCGACCGACTACCACCCTGTCGGCACAGCATCTATGCTGCCGCTGAAGTTGGGAGGTGTCGTCGACCAAACCTTGCGTGTGTACGGAGTCAAGAACCTGAGGGTAGTTGACGCCAGTGTAATGCCCATGGTTCCCTCTGCCAACACGTGCCAGCCTACCTACGCCCTGGCTGAGAAGGTGAGTCGGTGCCCGGATATTTCATCCATCCATACGTCTTTCCCTGGGCTCTTTGTTATCTCCCTGCCACGTAACCCCTACTACGGCTTTGTGCTAACAGCATCTTGCGAATTGCAGGCAGCGGAAATCATCAAGCAAGGCATCTAAGCCCATCAAACTATAATCTTAGCCAAAACCACTAATGCTTATTGCTACTCGTAACTCTTCATACGGATATAAATACAGGACAGCTGGTGCGGATAGATGAATCTTTGGAACATCTGGAGGTAATCTAAATGCTACAAGTACTTACTTTTGTAGTGTTCGCCCGTAGAAGGGGTTTTCTTGTCTTCTTCTTCAACGCAGCCCTACAGTCATTAACATATAGACCTGTCCAAAATGTGTTGCGAATCTCATTTGAATGCCTGATACATATTGATCAAGGCAGCCCTCGCTATATTCACACAAGCAAATGCTTCCCCAAAAGGTTCACTGCAGCGATTCTTAAAGGTCCCCAGTCCTCCGTTTAATCCTCGTCAATGGCGAAGACCCAAAGTAATGAAAACTAGGGTGAAGGAATGCATTGCAATCTCTAGAAATACGGATGCCATATCCCAGAATATGAACTGCGCAACACGAGTTTCTATCCCAACGAACACGGAAAAATCACCTCATCGGGGTGGTCGTATGTGGCAGTTTCCATACGATATGCCAGCTAAATCAATGTGCCGAGCTGGAGTGTGGAGCGTTGGAAAAGAAGATAAGCATAGTAAGGGACCATGGTTGCGCATTCACAATAGCGCCAGGGAAAACCCGATGTTTCAACTTTGTTCCCTTTTATTGAACTACGATGCTGGAGTTCCCAAAACCTGAGACGACCGGTCGTCTGGTTCCTTAGCTGCTGCGTACACCAGCTCTTTTGCACAGTCCAAAGCACGACTTCAAAGAACTGATGTTACGGATGGTTTCGAATTTCTTGTGTGGCCTGTTGTCTTTTCATTTTGTTTTATTTTTTAATCTTTTATGACCACCGCAATAGCTAGGGGCTTCATCGAATACACAGTACCGTTGTGTTGGTTGATCAATTTGCTCCTAGCCCGGCTTGTCTCGGCCGATGCAAAAAAAAAAAAAAAAAAAAAGGAAAAAAAGGAAAAAGAAACCCCCCCCCCCCCAAATACCCATTCTATTTTAGTAACTGGGAGCGGCTGAAAAGCTCTGCAATAAATAAGTCCGAGAGTTGTTCCAACCTGAGCACCGGTACGCAGCTAATCTCGCTTGTTACGTAACACTCTGTTCCTGGGGTGTCTCTCCATCTGAGCTCTCATTGGCCGCCCGGAGCATTCTTCAGCCCTTGGGAAGCCCCCTTGAGTCATGTGAGCAAAGAGGTTGCCTGAAAATTCGGGCCAGCAAGACGGCCTCCATAGGCCTCCTCCAGCATCTATATAAACCTCGTCTCGCTCCGCCTCCCTAAGCTTGAGTCTTTTTCTTCTTCATACTTACCTTGTCGCGTGTTCCCGAGCTCAAGATTTCGGGAATGCAAGGAGGGAGGCCTGCATTGCACATCGCGGTGTCGACCTCCTTCGATTGTCCTTCGGGGCCATCGGCGGCGGAATTTTTGATTTTTACCACCAATGGTACCACCTTTTCATTGTGCTGGTCGCTTTATGCGATCGTATGAAGAAGAGATGCATGTCACAAACGGGACGGATTGTTGGCTTGCCGTTGTTCGCACATGGCCGATGCGTAACGGAGGAAAAAGTCTACGTTTGGTGATGTAGCCTAAATTGAGAGTTGTACCACCCCTCTTCCCCGAGAGTCCCAACAGGTCGGCCAGTTGCCACACGCTCAGGCTTTTGGAACAGGATATTTACTGCCAGGTGGCAACGGCCCGCGGCCCTGTGTGTAGATGTCTTAGGCCTGTGTGACTCAGCGGTATCCGTTCTTTCATTCGGCTAAACAGTTAGAAAGGAGACGACGCTTTATACATGTTGAGAGGGCCTTTCATAGCAGTTTACCCGTGCTGTGCACAGTTTTCAGAAACAAGCCATACTCACTCAGTCTTCAAACAGCCTTGTTCTGATGATAGGCATGATCATATAAAGGCGGAATGCATACATAAACCATTGGTTTACTCATTATGTAAAGAAACAACAGGCTATGTTAAAAAAAATAAAAAATAAAAACCCCCCAACAAGCTTCAACACACTGAGGGCGAGCGGCTTTAATCAGCCTTTCAAAGGGTTTTCGTCTATGGATGGACCCAGCTATACGAGATTGGTCAGTGATGGGGTCTTTCTTCGTCATGTTCTTCTGTTACTCCTTCCAGCAAAGAGTATATGTTGAAGTAAGCATTGATTCTCTTATTCACAAGCTCTTTCGAGCTTCCATTGCAAGCGAGGCAACCTCCTCTCTAGGTCCAGCCCATGGCCCGTGTCAAAGGAGCCATGAGAAGCCCATCCAAGTTGGGCGCCAGATTCTCGTGGTTCCAAACACCGAGCTCCTTGTGTCTCTGGTCTTTTGGCCAGCCGTCCGTCGGCCATTTGAACCGTTGAACCTGGACGTCTTCGAATCCGGTCTCGGCCATGGTGCCCTCGAACCGGCTGACTTCCTCAAAGGGAGAACCAAGAACTGCTGGCACCTCGAAGCGCAGAGTCGGAAAGCCGTCATGAGGTCGCAGTCCTCCGTGAGAGTGCCATTGTCTCATGCAGGGAAGCCATCGACATCGTTGAGCTCAATATAGCCGCCAGGGCTGGGGTTACTACGGAGACTTGGCGAGTTGCAGTAGTGAATATTCCAAGGGAACCAACTCAACGCATCGCTTGAGATGTTTCTGCCAGTCGAGGAAGCGAGGCCTGCCTGCACACCGGCTGATTAGTTTCCGGACTCCAAGATCGAGGCCAAGAGGTTTTGGCGCCAACGAGTGAATACCACCCACGCTGCTCTCCAACAAGCCGCCGTCCGTAATCTAAAAACGTGTCAGTATACATAATTCGGGACAGGTCAAACGTCGTCTTGCCACGTCGGCCTCAAGGATATCTTCAGTTCCATCCGCAGTAGTTTGGGGCACCTCTGCAATAGGCTCGGGTGGATTAGCTCCGGTCGTCTTGGCGATCGTTGCGCTGTTGTTGGGCGTTTTCTCTTCTCCCAGAACAACGGCACTACCTCCATCCGTGAGCCCCGGACCCCGTAAAGTTATGTGCCCCTGGAACCGGGGGCTAGATCAGACTCGCTACGCGGCGATTTGCCCATTTTGGGAGTCATGAGCTGTTGGTTCGTCTTGTGCTACCCCGTCAGACATGGAGGGGTTTCCAGAAACAGCAGCTGGCTGGCGGAAGCGGATGCGCGACCCTTCTTCCGATGATGTCCTCCCCCGTTACTTCACGGCGGGGGTGTTGTATATCCTCCACATGCAAGGATTCATGGCCAGTCGAGGGGGGGTGGGGGGTTCCGTACCCGAGCAGTGGCAAAGAATCCCGTTGAGTCTACTGGACACAATATGCCAATTGGCCAGTCTGGTCCTAGCCGTGGCCTCCTACAAAACGAGACGACCTCAATCGTATGGTAGATCTATGGCGCGTACGTCTGAGCCCGGCGACGAGTTGTATTGAACTGGAGGGATGAAGCAAAGGACCAGCTTCCAGCAGACTTTTGCACACATCCGGCCGTGTCCAGCAAGGTTCCCCGAGAGCCGGGAGCAAGGCTGTCTCCATCTAGCACGGTTTAAGGTGCGGTGTTTTCTACGACCTTGAGTGGCATGTTCAATGGGGTTATTGTAGTTGGGGCTTCAGTCACGCCGTCGCTTACGTTCGACACGCCGGGATCTTCATGGACGGGTGAGCTTGGCTAGAACGTGTATAGAGGACTGGATCCCAAATCGATGGAATGTTCGATACCATAGCACGGCAAAACGCTCCTGATTGGGGATAAGGAATCCCAGATTCAACAGTGCTCTCGCCGGACGGAGCAGATTTTATCTGGGAAGCAACAGCTTTGACGGACGAGCACATGGACTCATTCCCAGTGTACAAGCAGACAATAATATCTCGGTTCGAGGTGTAATCAGATTGACCCAAGTTGCGGGAACAGCAGAGATGCAACAAGTGTACTGCGCTTGCCTCTGGTCGCTGGCGCATGCGAGAGCTTGGGGTGGCTATACGATCAGGCGGGAAGGGATAAAAGCGTTGAACCATGCCAAGAAAGACACAGGAAACCTCTTTTACTAGGTAGTTATCGTTACCTCCCGCCACAAATGCTACCTAGAGCCAGACGCCTTGCGACCCTCACACCACCTTCTCCTAATGTCTCCCCCTTTGCCCTTCGCGGACAAGGAGGATTGTTCAGAGACTGAGAAAAAAAAAAGCTATGCGAAAAGAGAACTCGACGAGGGCGCCGCATATGACGCGGCGCCGCGCTGTGCTTCGCTTCGATTCTGAGCAGAAACCTGGTATCCCTGAAAGAAGAAAAAAAAAGACAGAATATTCCCCCCCCTCCCCCCCGGCAACGCCGCCACCGCCCTTGTTTTTCTATTTCACTCTGCCGAAGACTAATTAGCCGCTGATAGGCATGTATGCGTGCTGTATAATGGCCATAAAGACCCGCCAGCCGCCAGACGCTCATTATGTGCCGGTAATACATGGGTTGTTTGTGTATGCTGAAGCCTCTTCCATGTACAGACCCGTTAACTCTGGGATGAAACAGGGCAAATGGGAGGTTTGCTCGTGCCGCTACGCTTGTGGAGAAACAATGACGCTAATGCGAGTGCAAGCAATGTCCATAAGATGGCCGACTACTCATCGTCAAAGATCTCATAGGTGTTCTGCAGGATCGTGTCGACGACCTTGATCTGCCACCCGGCATCGGCGATGCTGGTGGACGGGTCAGTGCCCATGACCGTGGGGCCGAAGATAACCGACAGGTTGTGCGAGTTCATGCGGTTGATATGGGAGTTCTCCATGATGCGGTGGAGATGCAGCGTCAGCGAGCGCAGGGTGGCGTAGTTGGGATCGGGCAGGCTGTTGATAATGGCGTGGAGGGAGTCTCGGCGAACGATGTCGTCCTCGAGTTCTGGCAATGATTAGTAGAGCTCATATGGGAATACATATATAAAAAGAGAGGAAAAAAAAAAACTCACTAGCTGCCTCAATCAGTTCGCTGTGGTGCTCCGTGGT